CTCCCTACATAGTGCACTACATAGGAATTTAAATACTGGCTCCTAGCCAAAAACAATCATTAAAAGTAGTTGTAAAAATAATTTGGGATTCAGCCACATTCATACTCGACAAACAGTGCGCTATTTGGCTGTAGAAGCTAGAATTTCTAAACCTCTATAGCTAGCACACTACTTAAAGAGTTTGTAAGGTGTGTGGGATTCAGCCTGGGGTTGGAAAGACTTCTGACTGAAACACCCACATTTGAAGCATGTAAGCCATTCAAGTGATGTTCTTTAGACTTTTATGCTGCTGTTTTACAGTTATTCATACCCTAAGTGCTTTAATTCAAGTCTGTGATATTTATGATGGAGTTGTTTAGTCTGTCAGCTAGCTGACCAGCCTAGTTCTAGTTAAGAACTTAAGTTGTCAGCCCCTCGATTTAAACAAAATACGGTTCTTACTTCATCAATATACTTGGTGCTCCATCCGAGCATGCATTACAGTCATAGATTATTCCAATAACACCACAAGAATTTTTCGTGCTGTGGCACAGTAATATACAATTCAGTTGTGAGGTGGTGTGTGTATATCGCAGATTTTACAACGTGGCTCAGCCAATCAGATACTAAGACTGGAACTATCTGTTTTATCATTTTCATTAGAAAATCATCTTCCCCTTCAGCCTAACTGAATACAGCATGTTTAGCCATACTGATAGAGATGAGAGTCAACTTTTTATGCCGGTTTAGTCATATGAACACTGCACATGTTCAAGCTTGTACAAATGCGAGATTAAACTTAATGCCTCAACTATTCAGATAGCAAGCAGATATTAATCCACTGGCTTGATAAGGTTGGCACCCTGCTGACTGTGTGCCGACTGCTGGCCCACTCTCAGCCCACCCAGATTACTGTCTTGCATACAAGTTCTAGTTTTTAAACTCCTCAAACAGATTTTAAATGCACACAGCCTTTTATTTTGGAAAATAAACTAAAACAATTATCACAAACAATTAATGACTAGGCCTAATGTATAATGACTTAGTTGAAAATGTTGTTGTTGATACTGTGCTAGAGCTGTTAAACTGGCTGTATTTATGCTATTGCTGTTGCAAACTTACTAAACTAATTTGTAAAGGGTAACAGAAGAAAAAAGGAAGAAAAAAAATAAGTAAATTGGCCTGTGAGTAGAAAATGAGTGCTGAAAAGTGCCTTTTTGTCTCCACTCTGCTAAACCACCAGTGGGCCACCTGGAAAACACGGAGCAGAAAGCCATCGGGCTGCCAGCTTTGCCATCAGCAGGCCAACAGTGGCCAGCTATCCTCTTGCTCTGGTGTTGGTTTCAGCTGGACTACTATTACTGAGGGAGCTCCAGATCTGGAACTATTACTTAGCAGACTTCATTCTAGATTCATGCTAGATTCAAATCCCAGATCTCATTGGTAATCACTCAAATTTCAGCACCTCCCCAGGTAAAACTAATCCAGCTCGAATAGGGCTCAAGACAGCTGATCAGCCATTAATCACGTTTATTTCTAAGGCAATTAATCGTGAGCTACAATTTTGTCATCACGGGCCTATCATAATGTTAAACATGAGGCCAGCAACCAGATGTTACGTATAAAATTTCATTTGTGAAATAAAGCTTCCCCACTTCGGCCCTCCCAAATTAAAATTCTAGCCAATTGTTCAGCCCACACAGCAACATTCATCCAGTTACATAGCAAAAGGCCAATGAATTTTGACCCGTTCCACTCTGCATATCCTTGACAGATGCATGGGCTATCCCTTTAAAAGCATTCTCACTGCTGGGCAGTAGGGGCAGTGTGAGTGACCAAATGACTCTCCAGCAGATGCAGTTATCATATGAATACACTTCCCATTCCAAGCTGCCTTGTTTGCAAATATTTCCCTGCACTCTGGGTCGCCAATAGAAACCTCTGCAGCTGTATCTTCATCTAACCTACAGGGCGCTCGCTCAATATTCATGATTGGTCTGTTAATCCCCGCAGAAATCAGACGGATTAGACGAAAATGGAAAATAAATGCGTACTTTAATTCCTCTGATGCCAACTGTAGCATTGATTGCGTAAGATGGTGTAATACACATGAATGCATCCCAAAGCTATGGTATATACAAATGCTGTGACATTGTTTTGGTGAAATATGAGTACAAATGCTTACAGTGTGAAGTAAGAATCAAAAATATGTACTTGTTAGACTACAGCTCAATAGGGCTGTGCGGCCTGCTTGCCTGGACTGTATAGAAAATAAAACAAACGCATATAATGTGTCTGTACTTGTTCGTTCACTGTCCAGCTAAGATATTTAAGTGTGTGTGCGTGTGTGTGTGTGTGTGTATATATATATATATATATATATATATATATATATATATATATGTATATACACATATGTATACACACACACACACTGTTGTTGGAAAAAAAAACCTTGTATCTCCAAAATGACAACTTTACAGGAGAAGATCCATTCTTCATTAAATTTACACACAATGTAAAGGGCAACAGGCATTTTCAAATTATGCCAAAAACTGAAAAACAACAAAAATGGAGATTCGAGGTTTTCTTCTGACACCAGCGATATACAGGTAACATATGTACTAGACCTCAACAATATATATTAAAGGGACACTCCAGCCAAAATGGAAAATTAAATCATCACATCATCTGTTTCAAACATGTCTACTCCCCACTTACAGGTGCTGCAGTGGTCTCTAGTGTGAGATTTTCCATTTTTAAATATAAGGAAAGCCCATTTTTGATGATGTCTCTTGAAGGTGGGAGGTACTTTCGAAAAAACTACAATTGCTTTGGGGTGGATTTTTTTTCTAGTGGATGCAGAAGAAAAGCAGATAGTTAATGTTGCTGTTAGGAAGATAACTATCTGGTTAAAACTGTATAACTGTAATAATTGTCTGATAAATAAATAAATAAATAATTAAATGTCTTCAGATCATTATTACAATAACAGATTCACTCAAAGGGGACTTCCACAGATTTTTTAAAGATGTTTGCATAATTCAATCATTGAGATGTAAACAAAGTCATTCTGAGTGGTTTGACGTGAAGTGATTCATTGTACAGAAAATCACAGTGGTGATGGGAACCAGGGGTCACAATATCTATAACACAAATACAGCCATTTTATTTACTATTTAATAACTAATCTGAAACCAGTGAACCTACACGTGTCTTATGAGTTTTTATATGTAATGATAGTAAAATAGTAGTAAATCTGAAATAAGTAAGTTTTCTTTTTGGGACTATTTTGCCTTATACCGTCCTACATGTACCCCTCCACCATTAAAGCATTTTAAAAAGTACATTGTTGCCCAAAAGTTTATCTCAAAACTACCATAGAACAACGTCTCAGGCACTAGGTAGCGTATTTATAACTACTTTGTGTAATAACTTTCTGTTTTAGAGGTGAACAATTCTGACTCGGGAAGTCAATATTTTAAAGTATTTTTTTTCAATACACTAAGTCAATTTTTCAAAATGACTACCAAGCAATTATTTTGAGATACTAAGTCATAATTATGAGAGGTTAAGTCATATTTTTGAGACAGAATCTCATTATTATGAAACTACAAGCCATTATAGTGAGATAGGATCTCATTATTATGACATAATAATGTCATAACATAAATATAAGTCATAATTAAGCCAAAATATCTCATTATGAGATAGGAAGTCATGGCTAGATTTTTGTTCTGTGGCAGAAACAGACTTTCACATCTATGTGACTGTTGTTAAATGAGTTTAATTTGATCTGAGTGTTGTGCTCTACTGAGTCTGTTTTAGATCCACTCACTTTCTTTCTGGTTCTTTTGTGTTCATTTGTGTGTGTTTGAGAGGGTGAGATAATATGTAAGCCCATTTCTGCCACAGGAAAATAATAGCCATTTAGTAAGTCACAATAATGAGAAACTTTTCCAAAATTATGACTTAGCATTTCATTATTTTTACTTGCTATCTCATAAAAATGAGATCATATCTTATAATTATGACTTTGTATCTCATAATCAACTTAGTATCTCATAAAAAATACTTACTGTGTCATAAGTATGACTGAGAGTCTCATTAGTACAACTATTTCATAATTCTGTTTTAGCATCTCAATTATGATGTAATATCTCATAACAATGACTAATTATGACTTAGCATCTCATAATTATGACTTCATATCTCATAATTATGACTTTTTTCTATAATTTTCCTTCACTTAACTATGACTTACAATCTCATAGTTTAGCATTTCATAATTATGACTTACAAATTCAGAATTATGACTTAACATATCATAATAAAGACTATGTTATATGGTATCTCATTATAATGACTTACTACATCATATAACTTAGCATCTCATAATTATGATTTTCAATCTTATAATAATGACTTACAATCTCATAATTACGACTTAACATAACTTAGCATATCATAATTATGACATACAATCTCATAATTATGACTTAACACATCATGATAAAGACTATGCCATGTGGTATTCCATAATAATGACTTACTTTCTCATAATTACGAAATACACTCTCAATATTACGAAATGTCAAGTCATAATAATGATCGATACGTCATAATTATGGAAAACTTCCTCATTATTATAACTTACCATGCCATAATTATAACTTAGCATATCACAATTATGACTTACAATCTCATAATTATGACTTAACACATGATGATAAAGACTATGCCATGTGGTATTCCATAATAATGACTCACTTTCTCATAATTGTGAGATATATTATGAGATATCAAGTCATAATAATGATCGTTACGTCATAATTATGGAAAACTTTCTCATTATTATAAATTAGTGAATGCCTGTATTGCCTGTCCAGTGGCGGAAACGGGCTTCGATAAAATAGAGAGAGAGCGAGTGAGAGAGCGATATAGATAGAGAATGTGAGTGAGTGAGAGAGCGAGATAGAGCGAGATAGAGATAGAGAGAGATAGAGAGAGAGAGAGTGAGTGAGTGAGTGAGTGAGTGAGAGAGAGAGCGAAACTCCCGAAGAACTTCGGCAACCTGCTACACGGTCGATGATGATGGCGACCGACGAAACAAGGCGACGTTTTCTAAAGAAAAGATGAAGATGTCCGTAGTCGTTCAAGGATGAGTACGTGCGGGTGTTTTAGAGCGGCTCTCCGGCTGCTGAGATGTACTTTGCATCCAACATGTCTTGTATGTCTCTGTCTGTCTGGGTGTGGACCGGCTGCTAACTTGCTAAGGCGATAAATCAGCTGGCTGAATGTGCTTCGCAGCGCTGTGCAGATAAAACCAGCCGCCTGGTTCGGCGCGTATTTTTGCTCGACCGACTTTAATGCAAGTCAGTATCTGAAGGCATCTGGTTAAACTCGGCTCGGAACTGTTTATCTCCCCAAATATTCGGGTTTAGAAGGCTAGCTGGATACTCCAGCGCTAGCTGCTCGTGTTTTTAGCTTTGCTAACTGGCTAAGCTAACGCTAACCAACACAGCCTTTCGCTCGTTTAACGTTGGCAGTTTTCAGGATTTTCGCTTGTTTTGCAGCGACCCTGTACTTCAGTTTAGGCCGTTCCGTCTTCAGACAAGCCGAGCTGAGGCTAGTTGTGTTTATTTCTGCGTTACATAATCGCGCTTCATGTTAACTGTTGTTGGCTTCCTATTCGTCAGCTTCTTGTTCGAATTTTTCCGGTCCACCTTAAATGGTGCAGCAGTTATGATCTGGAGCCTGAGGCGCCAGAACGTAACTGCTGCACCATTTAAGGTGGAACGGAAGAATTCGAAAGAAGCTGATTTCAGCTTCGTGCAGAACTTTACGCAATTTTGTGCTCTTTTTTATTGACAATAATGGACCGCGTTACTAATATAGCATATTACATTTTCACGAAGAGTATTTTTTTACAGTTATTCTGATGGCAAACTGACTTAGGTTAGCTGTTTTGCTAAGCAAACAATGTTAGTTAGCGTTAGCTCGCTAGCCGGCTTACGTGCTAACGCTAACGTTGTCTCGCAGAACGAGACCGAACATTTTATGTGTACCTGACTGTGTCCCTCAAAGATATGCAGCTAGAAATTGTATTGTTACTCAGACAATATGTTTCAGACCGTATAGCTTTATGCTGGCTTTCTAGAATTAGCGTTGGCAGACGAGTTAGCTGGCTAGCTGCCTCCACCAGCTTTCTGCCATAGTAAGTTCTTAACCTAGCTTGCTAAGTGGCTAGCTGCGCTGCTTAGCCTGACGTTAGATAACACAGCTTTGTCCAAAAACAACAGAAATGGCTCATGTTTTAGAGGCGTGTTGCCACTTTTAAGTGCTAACACGAGTAATAATCTCGGATTCGCTTCATTTACAGCCGTTTTCTGTGAATGTGGTTCTGCAGGTGGCTTGTTCCCTTGTTTAGGTAGCAACAACTGCCTGCCAGTCGTTCCTTTGTCCCCATTTTGGTTAACCAAACCAATGCACTTGATCTCAGTGTCAAGGCAAGAGCGTGTGCCCTGTAGCACCAGAGTTCATATTTTAACAGATATTATGTTCTGTGGTTTACATAAATTATGCTGATGGTTGTCATTATGTGCTCCATTTAACTGTGCCTCTTGTTCTCTTGTTCCAGGTTTCAGGTTTCACACTATGTGATGAGCACCCGGGACGTGTGAAATTATTTAAGAACTCCTGTGTTCAGAAGATTTTTGATTCCAGTGGAATCTTCCAGTTTTCCTTTTTTTTTTTTTTTGTTTAATGAAACGCCCAACAGTCGCACGCACGCACACACCCTCACGCTTTTAAGGAACCCCTGCTCGTTTTACATGTAGACCACCTCAGCGACGATGCCTGTACAAGCTCCACAATGGACAGAGTTCTTGCTGTGTCCAATATGCACCCAGACGTTCGAGGAGACGGTGCGCCGGCCCATCAGTCTGGGGTGCGGCCATACCGTCTGCAAGATGTGCCTGAACAAGCTGCACCGGAAGGCCTGTCCCTTCGACCAGACGGCCATCAACACCGACATCGAGCAGCTTCCAGTCAACTCGGCCCTGCTACAGCTGGTCGGGGGTCAGGTGAGTCTGAAACTCGTATGGCTGGTTTTCCTAGTCGGCAAATATTAAAATCATCTCAGTGATTCTACAGTTATGTGGCTTGATAATCATCAGGTCGAGTTGGGGAGAAGTAATAAGCTAAACATTTTTTAAATGGAGTAAAAAGCTAGAAAATCTCTAGCTGCCTGGTGATAGTTAACAGAGTTACCGCAGTAAAAGCCCCCAGTGACCGTTTAAAAACTCATTTAGTTCTGGTTTAAAGAACATTACTCATTCATTGATTTAGTGTCATGTCTCAGCTTTCATGCAGCTAAGCTAAGCAGCTACAGACACTGCAGCAATGGACGATACTTTCTTACCAGATTTATGACAGCGTCGTGGCCGGATTTAAACAGGCAAACCACAACAGCTTTTACTGAACTGCACTATTTCCTTTTTTTTTGTAAGACAAAGCTTAAGCTTCAGCTCACACACTGTCACTGCGCTTGCTTTTATTACTTGTATTATTATTGCCCAAAAACAGGCCCTCATTTTATAAAACATAATCACAATTGAAATCACAGTCAGAAAATCAGATATTTTCCCCAAATCTTCCAGCCTTACTAGGCTGTCAATTGCTTTGAAATGCTTAAGTAAAATCACATCACTATCACCCACGTTAGATCATGACAAAACAAACCTGCTGCAGCATTCCAGGACTAGACCGAAATTTCCTTGTTGTAGAGTAATAAGACTTTAAACAGAATCTTCAGGCTATGTGTACGTCTGTAAAGTGTTCCTTGATTTTTTATCATTGAACAGGTTATTTGAAGGGGTTTCCCAATTATGTTTCTTCCTGATCCATGCCCTGTCCTTTAATATTGGATATTTGCTGAGTTTGATCTGATATTTAATAATTACCAACTTTTCTGCATAAATCAAGTCATTCAGAGTGGTTTGATGTGAAATGGTTCACTGTAGAGAAATTCACTGACTCCGATTTTTTCCAGGTCATAAAACTTTGGACGTCTGGTTTCTATCACCACCTCTATGAACAATTCTGTCTTAGTAAGGTTCTCTAGAACTAAGCATTTCACATTAAACTGCTCTGAATTGTTATTTTTTTTTAAATCTTAACATTTAAATTATGCTGAAGTTTTGAGAACTCCTGTATTATTACTTGTATTATTATTGCCCAAAAACAGGCCCTCATTTTATAAAACATAATCACAATTGAAATCACAGTCAGAAAATTATAATAAGATATTTTCCCCAAATCTTCCAGCCTTACTAGGCCGTCAGTTGCTTTGAAATGCTTAAGTAAAATCACATCACTATTATTGTAATGTGAGTTATGCAACACATTCAGAAGTAATGACCATTAAATGGTGTCTCGAATACTTTACTTTCATATATCCAGTTCCTGTAATGTGCAAAATCCTTTTTTTCCAGCTTTAAGCGCTCCGTTACTGCTTAGTCTATAATAACAACAAGAGTTAGGTTTTATGCGACTTGTTTAACAAAGTTATCAATAGAAGTCGTTCTAAGTCCATCTGCTGATTCTGGACCTCATTATAAGTGATGTTCCTGGATGTATCAGCAAAAATATGTGCAAAGATAATGACAGCAACCCCACAGCAACAGTTTGGTCTCTGGACTTATGAGTTGTTGGATTAGGGAGAAAAGTTAAGAATCATAAGGGAATGACCTCAGTGACCCCGGCAGTGAGTGGAAGTGGGCAGCACAAGCGTGAATTGGACCAATCATCCAAACACTGTTAGCATTTGCTAAAGCTGCTGTGGCCAGGTGGCCAGGATAGGCAACGTTTTAAACAGTGTGAGCATTTGTTGCAAGTCAGACTAGCTGCAACATATGCAGAAAGAACTTTTTAAGTGCTTATTAGTTCGCTCACTGGAGCTCAGTCAGGCATTAAAAAGAAGAAGAAGGGTTTTCGTAGGGTGGGGCAGCTGAAGGGCAGATGAAAATCTTGGTTCGAGGAATCATTTGACATCAGTATAGTCCCGCCCTATTGAAATTCCACCGAAGAAACACAAAAAGGCAAAAAAATCTCTCATTTGAAATGACAGTGGTTGTTTTTTATTTGGCAGACAGTAGCCTCTTTAAACTGAAGCAGGGTTGTGCCAGTCTGGTTTTGGAATGCCACACCGATTCACCAGCTGGGTTTTGCCCTGCTCACCTGATTAAACTGGTTAGGTGATTGCCCAGCCCTGTGTTCAGTCACCCATGTTAGATCATGACAAAACAAACCTACTGCAGCATTCCAGGACTAGATCGAAATTTCCTTGTTGTAGAGTAATAAGACTTTAAACAGAATCTTCAGGCTATGTGTACGTCTGTAAAGTGTTCCTTGATTATTATCATTAAACAGGTTATTTGTAGGGGTTTCCCAATTATGTTTCTTCCTGATCCATGCCCTGTCCTTTAATATTGGATATTTGCTGAGTTTGATCTGATATTTAATAATTACCTACTTTTCTGCATAAATCAAGTCATTCAGAGTGGTTTGATGTGAAATGGTTCACTGTAGAGAAATTCACTGACTCAGATTTTTTCCAGGGCATAAAACTTTGGACGTCTGGTTTCTATCACCACCTCTATGAACAATTCTATCTTAGTAAGGTTCTCTAGAACTAAGCATTTCACATTAAACTGCTCTGAATTGTTAATTTTTTAAAATCTTAACATTTAAATTATGTTGAAATTTTGAGAAGTTACTAAAAAATTAGTTAAACCGTCTCAGTATAGGTAAGATATGCAAGGTTCTAGAGCTGTAAGATGAATCGGTTTATATCAAAATTGCAATTTAAAGAGCTGTAGTTTGAATTACAGCCAGTGTTTTCAACAGTGTTGTCTTAATGTTGTCTCAGTGTTTTATGTGGAGAAATTTAATCTAATAACATGGTGCTTGTGAACTGCCTGTAGATGAATTAGACCAATCAAAAGCAACCAAACTAACGGACACAGCAGACATTCTGTTTTTTCTTGCCAAAAAAGAAACAGATCTGGACCTCAGTGCATACAGAATAATTTATTTATTTAATTTAAAATGCTGTCACAGTATTGATCAAATCGTTTGCCCCAAATCGTTCGGCTATATTAAGGCTGCCAATTACTTTGAAATGCTTCAGTAAAATCCCATTACTATTATTATAATGTGAATTGTGACCCACTCAGAAGTAATGACTGTTTATAGTGTTTTGAGTACATTACCTAGGTATTTTCAGTTGTGCCAACATGCAAAATAATCATTCTTTTAAGCTTTGAGTGCGCCGTTACTTAGTGTGTAATAACCGCATGGTCAGATTTTGTGTGGTGCGTTTAACAGCATTTTGACACAAAGCGACTAGCTTAACTGCAGTAAGAACCCTGGAATTGGGACATTTTCTTTTTCATTTTAAAATAATTCCAATTCAATGCAGACGTTTCGACCACTTGTTAATTTCTGAAAACCAGCCTTAGTGCTGCTGGTTGTTAATAATGTCCAGTTTAATATACATTTAATAATGTCTTTATGACACTGGTCTAAATAGAGTAGAAAGGGTTAAAATAGCCCAAACAAAGGGTCAGAATTTGGTTAGGCTTAATATAGCCAATACCAGTCCATTGAAATGACTCTTTGGTCAGGTCCAGTATTGATCTTTCATATATCGTTATTTGCTACACTACACTGTTGACTTACAGGATCTCTCTGTGCACATTTTTTCCTTTCTCAGGTGCCCAAACTGCAGCCTGTGGCACTGATTACTAGTCCTGAGGACACCAAGCATTACGATGAGGCTCGACAGTGTGTGGAGGAGCTGGCCCTCTACCTCAAACCCCTCAGCAGTGCGAGAGGTAACTGCTTTGCTCTGAACACTTTTAATTATTCCCACATAAAGCCATATACAGAAACAGATGAAATTATCTTGTCTTCACTTGTTTATGTCTGGCCCAAATCTTGACTGCTGCTGAAAATGTGAGAGACCCCACACATAATGACAGGTTACACTCAGTTTTTGTTTATAATCGCCCTTCAGTCATCCAAGCCACCACAGTACGAGATGTACCCAGAACAATACACGCTTTCAGATTATGCTCACGAATCAGTGGCTTGGTCAGTAGTCTCTCAGAACATGATTTAGATCAAAACTAATGTTGCAGACAGCAGCAGTGGACCTATTGCTGTGCTAGTCATTTGTGAATTTAGTATCTTAAAAGTGAGAGGAAAAAAAACAAAATTTATCCTTCCATTAGCTGGACTCTGTGTTTAGCTCTGCTCTCATGGTTTAGCCGTCTTTAACAGTGACATCAATGCAGCGATTCATACGAGAGAATCAGTGTTCCCCTCTGTACTAGATGATTTTGGGTCATAAATATTGAGTGTTGTAATACTTAAAACACTGTGAGTAGAGCATAGAGTTAATAATTGGATTCTACACACCCAACACAAAAGGTAGTCAAGGTAGACAAGCATCTAAGACTAGCCTGATATCCTTTAAGACACCTTTTGTGACTGTCAAGAGGGGCAAATCGGTTTCAGAATAGACCAGGTTACTCTATAATGTGGGCCATTAGGGTTTTTTTTATTATTATTTATTTATTTTTTTGTTGATTTTTTTTTGTTTTTTGATTATAGTATGCCACTGGTTGACTGTGTTTTTAGGTTCTAGCTTACTGGCTAGTGTTTTAAACTGCATAATGCCAAACTTGAAGACAGATCAGACGATGTATGATTGTATGATGCAATACAATGTATTACATCAGATTCCTTCATTCTTTTTTTTTTTCCCCCCCATATCTAGGTGTGGGTCTGAGTAACGCAGCACAGAGCATGCTCAGTCGGCCCATGCAGAGGAAGCTGGTGACTCTGGTGCACTGTCAGCTGGTGGAGGAGGAAGGTCGGGTACGGGCAATGCGGGCGGCCCGCTCTCTGGGCGAGCGCACTGTCACTGAGCTCATCCTGCAACACCAGAACCCCCAGCAGCTCTCATCCAACCTTTGGGCTGCTGTTAGGGCAAGAGGCTGCCAGTTTCTGGGCCCCGGTACGATGCTTTGGTTGCAGTCAACCTTAATTCCAGACCTTTTTACCTTGTAGTTCATGTTCTGGGTTATTGTAATTTATTGCACATCATACCTTTACCTCCCGCTGCCATCATACACACCCATAACCGAGAGAAAGTGCTCAGTTAGTTCAGAGGCCATCCCTTCTGTCTCTATGATTTAGACAGAAATACGTCACGACACAGAAGGAAAATGCTCTATAATTGCTGGTTCATGTTAATTTTAAACCTCTGGGATCCATCACTGTGCCAGAATGATGAAAAGCCTTATCATATTTTTTGTAAGGATGCTTGTGTTGTTTAGTATTGTTTATTACAATTTCAGTTTGTGTTAAAAACATAAGTTTGTGAAAAGTTTAACATGTGGTATAGAAAATCAGTTGCAGTGTTGGACCTAATCAGGTTATATTTCATATATATTTATGTTTATTTATAAAAGTATTTAGTGAATTGCTATCTTCTTTTTTCTGTTCTCTTACTTGTTTGCCTGTTGTCTCTCTGCAGCCATGCAGGAGGAGGCCCTGAAGTTGGTGCTGCTTGCTCTGGAGGATGGTTCTGCTCTGTCCAGGAAGGTTCTGGTGCTTTTTGTGGTGCAGCGTCTGGAGCCCAGGTTCCCCCAGGCCTCCAAAACCAGTATTGGACATGTGGTGCAGCTCCTTTATCGTGCCTCCTGCTTTAAGGTCAGCTCGTTTCCATCTTTTAAAAGGGGGTCCTTATTACAATACCTGTAGGGTGCATTTTTGTATCACTGTTAATCAGCTTTGTCACTAGACTTATACCTCATATGAATTTAACAATGCAGTTTTCATCTTGCACCCACCCCCATTGCTAAATTGCTTGTTTTTATTTAATGTTTTTTGCCCCTATGCAGGTGACCAAGCGAGATGAGGACTCATCGCTGATGCAGCTGAAAGAAGAGTTCCGCACGTATGAGGCTCTACGGAGGGAGCACGACTCACAGATTGTCCAGATTGCCATGGAAGGAGGCCTGCGCATCGCCCCTGACCAGTGGTCTTCCCTTCTCTATGGAGACCAGTCCCACAAGTCCCACATGCAGTCCATCATAGACAAGGTCTGTCTTAGTAACGGTAGCCTGCAAATGATTTGTTATCAGCATATGATTGTATGGGTTTATAATTGCTGTTATTTGGGAGAAAAATTACAAAGGCTACGAATAATATAGTCTGTGACAATACTGTTCATCTGTTTTGAGTCGCTTGCCATGTTAATAAAAATTTTGTTCAATAACAACTCATACATTATAGGTCGAAAAATTGTAAAGTGTTTATCGCAAGACATTTCTTAGATATCTTTCTATGTTTTCTGAAAATAAATGATAAGTAATATAAGTCAGGTCTTTTCATAGTAATCTTTTGTTTTGAGATTTGACCACCACTTCAGAAATGTGAGACATTCTGGATATCGTTTTTATTCATTCTTGATATATAGTAATCTACTGTCTGTAATGTGATCATTGTTTTGGACAGCTGTTTAGCTTCATATTCATAGTTTTGTACCACTTCTGAGCATGAAGTGTAATTTCTCTGGTTTTCTTTGACTTTTAGTTGCAGACGCCTGCATCGTTTGCACAGAGTGTACAAGAACTGACTATAGCTCTGCAGAGAACAGGTGATCCTGCCAACCTGAACCGGCTTAGACCTCACTTAGAGCTGCTGGCCAACATCGACCCCAGTCCAGGTACATTATTTACATTCAGGAGACTTCTAGAAGTTGGACTCGAAGCATAAACGTCTCTTACTGAAAATTGTCTCCTTAGCGTTTACTATTTTTAACCCAGCTTTGAAAATGTCTCTCCTCTGGCCTCAAGTGATATTTTTAAAAACATATCTGAAGAGAAGTAAGATCCAGACAAAATTTTCCATCATGTTTAATATTCACATAGCAGATGAACTGAGCCATGCAAAGTGTTGATAAAAGACAAAAGCTGGTTTAAGCTGGACGTACATCACACAACTTTCATAACACAAAACAGAGAGCATCACGCATGTCGGAGGTGCATATACTAAACGATATGTCAAAAAATGGGTATGGCGCACAAGTTTTGCCTACTGAAAAGCACTTAAAACAAATCTCGCTGTTATAATGTGACACAAACAAGGCTAAACTGGACAGAACCTGTGTGCGCATAAAAGCACAAACAAGAAGCATAGCAAAAACGGATACTGGGGATGAATAAGGGGTAAAGAAACACAGACATCACTGTGAGAGCTGGGAAAATGCATATGGCCAAAAGTAAGTGGACACCTGATTGTCACACCTGTATAAACTTGTTAGTATTCATTAATATGGTGTTGCCCCCTCTTTGCAGCTAGAACAGCCTCCACTCCATTGTCAAGATTTTGGAGTGTGTCTGTGGAAATTTGTGTCCATTCGCTCAAAAGAGCATTAGTGATGTTGGAAAAGAAGATGAGAATCATCTAAAATGTCTTTGTATGCTGTCGCATTAACATTACTCTGCACTGAAACTAAAGGGCCCAAAAATAGCCCCAGATCATCATCCACCCTTCACCAAACTTTTTATTGTTGGCACTATGCATTCAATAGATATTGTTCTCCTGGCATCTGCCAAACCCAGATTCCTCCATCAGACTGACAGATAGTAAACCTCCATTCATAACTCCAGAAAACACGTTTCCACTGCTCCAGGTTTCAGGGGTGTCGTGCTTTACGCCACTCTAGCTGATGCTTGCCATTGCACATAGTTCTTAGCTTGTGTGCAGCTGCTCAGCACTGGAAACCCCCCCCCCAGCTCTGTGAGATTGCATGGTCTACTGCAGTTAACTGAGGCAGATCTAGCAAGGCAGAAATCTGACAGACTGACTTGTGGCAAAGGTGACATCCTATGACAGTGCCAGTTGTAAAGTCACTGAGCTCTTCAGTACAGTTGCATGGCTGTGTGCTTGATTTAATAGTCCTGTTGGCAGTGAAAGTGGCTGAAACATCTGAGCTTAGTAATTAGAAGTAGTGTCCACATACTTTTTTACTACAAACTGCCAGCTGACTTGAAATTGTAAGGAGAGTAACTGCCTGTGTGTCTGCCTTCTGCTGCACATGTGATGTGCAAACATGATTGTTCCCCTTTTTTCTCTCCTTGCTCTGTCATTGGCTGTCGCCTGAATCAGTCGTTCAGTTACATTGCTGACCATCTTAACACGTTTTAAGGTATTGGAAGGCTGCTGTTCACTCCATAGCTTGATCGGAAGGCCAGAGTTTGACTCATTTCCCCTTTACACTACCAGATAATTTGATAGAGCTCCCAGCCAGATCGTGTAGTGAAGGCCCAGAGTTAGGAATTGCACATTTATACATGTTTTTTTGTGATTCCCTGTGTAAAATATTCCTGTATTATTCTGCCACGTTTTTTCCTATATTTATTAGAGGTACCATTATTAAAAATATAAATGGATTAAAACAAATACATCAGAAAATAAAGACGTTTTGTGTTCCTTCCCTGTAATGCACTGTTTATATAATCACTAACAATCTCCCTGCCCTGTCCTCTGTCTGCAGATGCCCCCCCTCCCACATGGGAGCAGCTGGAGAAGGGGCTGGTGGCGGTAAAGACGGTGGTGCACGGCCTGGTGGACTTCATCCAGAACCACAGCAAGAAGGGTGCCGACCAGCAGCAGCCTCCTCAGCACAGCAAGTACAAGACCTACATGTGCCGTGATATGAAACAAAAAGGGGGCTGCCCCCGAGGAGCCAGCTGTACCTTCGCCCACTCACAGGAAGAGCTGGAGAAGTTAGTATTATACTGTCTTTTTTGAACTGTTATGCAAATACGCATACGCTGAATTAGTCACATGCTATGTAAATAGATACTTAACGCTTGAATCTCTGCAGGGCTTCCAAATTGCTTTGTTGGCCCACGCTTTAGTGCTCTTATTACTACATGACACATTACTACATAATAGTTAGCTTATTACTCAGAGCAAATGCTGAATAGTAACTAAGTAGTAACTGAATAATAAGCCTGAAATAACAAAAAGGATCAAAAAGGAACTGTTCAAAATTAATATTTAAAGTTGTAGCTGTGTTATGACTACTGCTGATATATGAAATAAACATAATTTATTACTTTTTTTCTTTTTGACATTAAAATTCTGAGTGAAATTAATGCCTGACAGTATGAATCAATAGCATGATCTATGTGATGTCACTGAATAATGCTTAAAGCTTTCTTTCGCTATTAGCAGTAGAATATTTTGGGTTGGGATGTCCATTTAAACCTTAGCTAGCTTCGTTTTTGCTAGAGCTTTCCTGGTCTCTGTGACGCTGAGCACACCTTACTACAGCAGACTCATTGTCATTTCACCAAATTTAACTAGACTTGAATGACCAGTAAATGATTTACATGAGCACTGGGGAGTTGAAAGTTCTCTCTCTCGCTCTTTCTGCAGATACCGTAAAATGAATAAGCGCCTGGCTCCGAGGCTGCCGTGTGGTCCTGGTTTGCTGCCTGAAGAAGGGGTCCCTCTAGAGGGCGTCACCCGTAAGCCCTCTCCACTCACCAATGGCATCGTGGCTGCCTGCCCTGGGACCCCAGTGCCACCGCTTTTGAGCCGTGGACCAGAACCGTCCCCATATGAGCTCATGCGCAAGCCCAAGGTGGACGCAGGCAGCCTGAGTGCTCCCGGCTCTCCCCCTGACACGTGCGTCTGCCCTGTTCTTTCATCTCTTCATCACAAATCAGTGTAGATCTGAATCTCATTCTTCTACCATTCATAAGCTTGAAGTCACGTGAAAGGGGAATTCCACCATTTAATGTCTGCAAAAATAGTCATTTAGAGTGGTTTGATATGCCTTTGTTTCTTTTGTATACCTTTTCATCATGAATGGATATAAAGATAACTTTTATCTAAAATGGATTTATCTCAACACTATCATAAAACAATGTCTCAGGCACCAGTTACCTTATGTTACCATTTCATGTAATAACTTTCTATGAGGGAGCTTTTAGAGACATTAAACGCTTCACATGTTCCTGTGATCACCACAGCGAACAATTTTGACTCAACTAAGTTTCTCTAGAATGGAACATTTCACATCAAACCACTCTTCATGACTTTGTTCACATCTCAATGATTTAACCATTTAGAAATTTTGTGAAATTGTTGGAAGTCCCTTTTAATTGTTATTGGCAGGTATAGAAATATATGTAAACGTTATAATGTAGATTAAAATACTATAATGTAGTATTTTGAATGCTTTTCAGTAATTTGCAAAGTTATTAGATTGTGATAAACTGCAGTTATCTATTAGATTGTTTGTTTTTTTTTGTTGTTTATGTGGATGTATAATAGTTTCTTAGCTCTCTACTGATGATTAGTTACACAGGACCAGCAGATAAATGTATAAAATGTATAAAATGATAAGCATTTACATCTTCACACTGTTGAAAGCACTGATTCAAAACAATTGAACAGTGATGCCAAATATTTGAGTCATAGTACATTTTACAGTTTTAGTTTTGTTTCACAGGCTCAGTTTTAACGACTGTTTTCTTCATTTATGTAATTTATGAGCAAGTTAAACTTGGGCTGTCCCCTTGGTCACTGACTCACGTCTCACTTTCACTCTTTTTTTTCCACAGTTTGGATAAAGCTGGCCTGCCCCTGCCACCCCACGCCGTAGCACACCCAAGGGGTGAGCACTTGCCTATGCCCAAGCAGATACCCGGCATGCCCCGTGGGGCACCACCCATGTACCCCCAGCAACAGGCTGAGCTTTTCTACCCCGAGGCGAGAGCACCCTCAGGATCTCAGTATGATGCACAATACTCTGCTGGTAAGCAGACACAATCATGTAAAAACAAAAACAGCTACTGAGGTTTATAGTCTCTAGAGACTTGCCTGAGATCGTTTGCTAACAGGACTGTCAGATGTGGTCAGAAATCAAATTCAGATTGGTTGAATATTTAAATATATTCAAATTTAAAATAGATTCAACATTATCAGCATAATTAGCATAATTTATTGTGCGTATAAACCTGTGATTCACATCCTGGGAGTTGAGACTCATGATGGTTGTGAAAAAAGGTACATAGGCCTATTCTGGTGTATTTTTTGAGAAGGATGCATCCATTAAAGACTGCTGCAGTATCTGTGTAGCGGTTTAGCTACGCATTTTCACTGTCTTACAAATATTCTGTGGTTATTAGCTTACTGTGCTACAAAGCTTCCACCTTTACAGTGTTGGCTTGTTAGAAAAGGACTGTCATCTAAAGCAGATGTTTTGGTTACCTCACTTGAGAATGTATTTCTGTTTGTGAGCGTTAAGCTCATCAAGTAAACATATTTCTTCATTCAGAGTGACTGAAATGCTAGAGAGCCGTCAAATGTTTAAGTATATGCCCATACAGTTTAACAACTCTAAACATAGCCAAAGTATATAATCTCAAGAACGGTTTTGGTATGCAGCATAGCACATGGGTGATTAAAAGTGATTATCAAAATAAGCCAGTATCTTGCCATTATGTCATCTGTAGGGTGGAATTTTAGTTTTCTTAAATCATATGTAATGTAGAGAAACCAGGATAAGCTTGAGGTTGAAATACTGCTAAATATCGATATATTTATTGGCCACCTAGCTTCTAATCAAAGACACGTTACAATATTTGCCACGTTTGTCCAGATTAGTAGAGATGCACAGTAGAGTCCTAACAACATTTCTGTCTTCTGTCCTCCAGGTAACCCCTACCCCTACCAGGCCACCCAGTACGTCCCACCCCGTTACATCCGTAACCCTCCTCCCCCGGGGGAGTCTGCTGTGGCTCCGTATCAGGACCCTTACCCTGGATACGGCCCTGAACGGCAGTATCCGGGCCCCCACTCAGGCCCCCCTTTCTCAGCCGTCAACCCCCATCCCTATCCTCCGCCCTCTCACTATGACAGCCGTCGCCATGGCCCTTACGCCGGACCCCCACCTCCTCCGCCATCCTTTGCACCTCCCAGAGATGAGCTCGTCCGAATGAGCCCTGTGCCCCTGGACGTCCCTCCTGCTGCGCTACCTCCCCCCACGGCCGGGGCGGCTGGTTCCCTCTATCACCCTGAGTCTTCGTCACGGGAGAGGTATCCGCCTGAGGGCTACTACCCGCCCGCGCCGCATCCTGGTCAGATGAGGTCCCATGTCAGGGTGAGTTAGAGGGATTTCTTTTACTTCAGCATCTTTTTTTTATGTTCTTTAAGTTGACATTTGCTCCTGTGTCTGGTTATTACTGCTGTTTTGCTGTATAATTTAAAACTGCAAGGTTTTTTTTTGGTTCAGATTGAAAGTAGTAGCATTACTGTGTCAGGAGGAAACAAAAAAAAAGCTAAATTATGCTGTCAGCAGTAGTAGGTAATTCACTTACATCCTTGAAGGACAGGTCCTTCACATTTGGAGTTGTTTTTGAATACTCTTTTAATTATTGTTGGTTATGTAATTAATTGCGTATTTTACATTCTGCACATTGACCTTCAATGTTTTCATGTCTTCTTGCTTTCTGTCCTCCACCCACTTCAGATGAATGTTGTTAAGCCGGTACAGAGTTCTTTATTAGTGCTGTGTTGTTTCTGACGTCCTGTTTGTGGTTGTGTTCCTTCTAGGATCCATACAGCCGCTCCCAGCCCAGCCTGGACTACCTGCACCGCAGGCGTAAGGAGTTGCTAAACCAGCTGGAGGAGAGGAAAGTTATCTCTCCTCCGCCCTTTGCTGCCTCTCCCACTCTGCCCTCTCACGCCTTCCCTAGCGACTACCCACAAGAGGTACATATTTTCAGTCAGTAAGGTTATGTACACAGGAATATGCATATTGTTTGTTGTAGATAATTTAATACTTAACATTTTAAGATACTTAATTTAATAAGTTTCTGTGTAATTCTTCAGTCAAGCTTATTTTATTTTATGTACTAGACTGGACATTATCCTAAGAATCCCTGTGGTGGCCTTTTGCTAAATTAGGATGTTAATGAGAGTCTAATGAACTGAAAGAAAGTTGGCCAAGGATTAAAAAGAGCTCTTTCATGACTCATGGAGCCACAGTAGGGTTGTTTCCAGCGTCCATGATGCGCCATTGTTTCTGGCCGATATGAGATTCAGCTGGGCGCTTTAACCTTATCTCTTGTCTTGCAGTACATAGAGGATGGCTCAAAAGCTTTTGGAACCCGGGAACCGGACTATGCCGGACAGTACTCCCCGTGGTCATGTGACACTATAGGATCGTACATCGGCTCCAAAGACCCAAAACCGAAAGATGCTATGTCAGCTGGTGCTGTGGAAATGATGGTAGGAGACTTCTACTTTCAGAACCTTTCTTAGCATTCTCTGTTGGCAAAAATAACAAACGTTTCTTTGCTTCTGACAGAATATGGAGGGAAAGAGTCTGCGCGAACCACCTCTGGATGCTCAGCGCCGTTCTGCAGAAACCAAAGACGACGACCCCATCATCCCATTCGGCCCTCTGCCCACAGTATCCCCTTTCGGGGCCATCTCCCGCACCTCCAAAACGGGCTACCAGACCACCGGCCCAGTGCAGGCCATGGCTTCTTCTCAGGCCTCTGGCTCCAAACACATGACTATGGCAGGTAAGTTAGAACAAGAACACAGAACTCTACAGCTCCGAGTTGTTCATGGGCTGTAAAAATGAATCATTGATCTCAAGATCAGCTGCATTGATTTTGGAATGTTATAATAACTTATCTTCATTATAATTTTGAGTAAAATATATACTTGTTTTGGTCAAATATTTCAAGCAGTTTCCACTTTGTAAATAGTTCCTCCAGTCCCATTTTCATAATGTATTAAATAATTTCCTAACTAAAAGAATTAAATTTGTGTGTTGTGTGGTCAGGTATTTATACTCCTAGTTGTTAAACATTCTTTTAACTGAGTACTGGCTTTTAACGTTTGCCTATGAAACAGGGATGCACCGATCATTAGTTTCTATGGCCGATTCTGATTTCTGTACAGCCAAATGGGCCAAAGGCCGATTTTTATTAGCCTTTTTTTCATCTGAAGCTCACACTATGTGGGGTGAATGAACTCATGAAGCATACTAGCAAATATTTAGTAATTTCACTTAGCCAGTGTCACAATATAAACAACATTATTTGCTCTTTATTGGGTCAATTTTGAAACGGTTGCCTATTTAAATAACATGAATCAAATGAAGTGCTATATTGAAAGTAAGAGGTGACTGCCTGTTTAGCACAACACGTCACGCATAATTATTCTGCAGCCTTTTGGTGTAGGTATAGCAGCAGCACTCATACAGCGAAAATGCACTCGCCTGCCTCACCTTAATTACATCATAAATTTGCAGCACAGATCTGCCAATATAAAAATGAAATGTCCGAGTGCCAATTTTGTATTTTGAGCAAAAATCTGTCCATTCCGGTCTAGTGCATCTCTACTCTGAAGAGGCTTTATACACTGATCAGGCATAACATTATTAGCAGCACTGCTGTGTCTGATCAACTCGCACCAGCACAACACACACTAACACACCACCACCACGTCAGTGTTACTGCAGTGCTGAGAATGATCCACCACCCAAATAGTACCTGCTCTGTGAGGGTCCATGGGGGTCCTGACCACTGAAGAACAGGGTAAAAGGGGGCTAACAAAGTATGCAGAGAAACAGATGGACTACAGTCTGTAATTGTAGAACTACAAAGTGCACCTATATAAGTGGAGCTGATAAAATGGACAATGAGCGTAGAAACAAGGAGGTGGTCATAATGTTATGCCTGATTGGTGTATGTAGTACAATATTTCTCTGCTAACCTGATTGCCAAATACTCAAATCTAGTTGCCAAGACAATAATTAGCAGTAAAATATTTTTGTTTTTTTTTTCCTGCCAGTGCTATTTTGGATCTTTTTGTGTGTGAATGCTGTCCAATTATAAAACCGAACAGTTTTGATGTTAGATAGTGACTTGCTCTGTTTTACAGACATAGTGCATTGTTTTGGCCCACATAATCTATAAAATCAGTAAAATTCTTTGATCTGTAAAAATCTTTAAAATGTAACATCTCTGTTGCCCCCCCAGCTGAGTACTCCTATGGGAATCACGTTGGCTGGGGAAGTGTTTCCTACCCACAGCACCAGAGTATGGCCTCCCCAGGACACTTCGGTGAACGGTATGACCATGATATAACTTTCACCAGTGTTTAAAAAGCCTTGGTCACGGTGCTTAAGCAAGTGCAGTTGCTTGAGGCTTGAGTATTTTTTCATAACCGATTTCTCATCATTTTTGTTCTTTGTTCTACAGTCTGCCCGTTTCTACTCCCGATAGAGAGCAGCTGAAGATCGAGCTCCAGCAGGTCAACCAACAGATCAGTCAGCAGACGCAGATCCGTGGCATGGAGGTGCATATATGCCCTTGAGTACATAAATGAACAGCACAGTGCACTTAAATTGCGCTTCAGAATCAGTTTTCACTGTCTGTAAACTGTTTTTCAGTCTTGATTTCAACCAGCTGGGTTTACTAGTGCGTTAAATGATAAACTAACTATACCTGATTAGCCAAGTGTCTCACTGCCAGTTTTAAAGGGTTTGTTATTTAAGGATATATGGAAATGATGTCCACACCTGCTCTGACATCCCCATCACTGCTGAATTTACATGTTTGCAGGCTGCCAGTAACTCCATGCTTTTGCAGAGAGAGGCCAGCGCTCTGGCTGCCCAGCCTCCTACTGCTAAATGGGCTACGGGAGGTGCGGTGTCCAGCGAGCAGCTCAGTCTGGAGCTCCACCATGTAGAGCGGGAGATTGGAAAGAGGACCCGTGAAATTGCCATGGTGAGTGGGACGGGGTCAGTGATAGGGCAGTGTAATCGGATATCGGCAATGATCGGTAATGATGATAATGACGCCTTAAAGGCAACAATGAGCTTGTTGGGAAAGACGACTAGAGAGGACTAATTCAATTTTAAACAGCTGGTTGAATGATATTGTATAATATAGACATGAATTTTTTTTTTTCCAATTAACTGTTGAAACAATGGATTATTACAGGGGCTTTAATAAGATGTAGAGTGAATTTTCTACTGTCTTTGCTATGACATACCAGATAACACTGAGCAAGTCTCTCAGTGGGTCAGATGAGCTGTAAAATAACAAAAATAGCCTTAAGTACTTTCCCATAGGCATCTGTAGCTCAATTCCAGCTTGACTCCACTAATGGTGACTTTTTTTCTTTATTTCGCTCACTTATTGCACACATGCTGCAGCTGAAGTTCCTCTAAGAAGGGGTGCTATTAACACGGAAGTTGCCATGATTTCAAACCTGCAGGAACTGAGCAATGTGTTTGCAGTAACTTTCAAAACTAGACATGATGTTTTTTTCTGCTTTCTTTTGTTGTCATTTGCCTTGATTCTACTGATGGAAACGTACCCAGTTCACAGTGATTGTTGTAACATAAACACATGAACGTGAAAGCAAACAGCTATGGAAAATAACTGCATTCAGCTCAATTAATTGTGACCAGGCGATTGTCTAATAATTGTAACAGGCCTAGTTGTATGTATTGATCACAGATCCTTGAGAGTGCTGAGATCTTGTGACTTGGTATGTGAATTCTGCAAGGGCTGTTCCATGATAATTTACAATACTTTCGATTTTGCGGATTGTGTTAAAGTCTGTTTATCGTTACAGGAGAACCAGGTGGCGCATGAAGTCCAGTTCAAGTTGAAAGCCACTGAAAATGGGCAACCTGATCATAAAGCCCAACTGGAGGAACTCTCCTTAGCACTGGGGTGAGTGTTGCAATAATGTTACCCAGATCTTGTTCCCTTTTTACTGTGTTCACATTGGCAGCGACGTTGAACTCACTCATTCATTTACAGTGAGAGCTGGCGATTTCTGGCGACTGGAGGTAGTGTGAAGGTTGGCAACAAGACAAAGTTGAGCAAAGTTTAACTTGCAATGTAGCGATTGCCAGTGTCATTTAGCAGAGTAGTATGTGCTTTATCTCTGCCACTGAAAATTGTTTTACTACATTCATAGATATTTATTTCTACTGGAGATGGAGTAATGGCACTGCTTTTGCCGCAAATAGCTGGAGACCGAACGGAGCAAACGCTGCTTTCTTCACACACTGAGTGAACAATGATGCACTACACAGGGATTAAATTTATAAAGAAGTGATTTCTCTCCAGGATTTTTATTTTTAGAGCGAACACATCTGATCTGTGCTTGGTGTCAGTGAAACCATGGCAACCAGCGGTGAGTTTGATTTCAGAAATGACCACGTGAAGGAAAAACAGCGTTTTGGACGAAAAGTTGCTGCCAATGTGAACGCACGGTCCATATCATGGAAAACTGAATTTTCCTTGCTTTTTTAAGCAGCATTATGTAAGATTATGTAAAGTAGTGTTACTGAGAAACGTTACTGAAAAAGAATGTCCAGCTCAATGTTTAGGTCTCAAATGTAAACCAACATTATACTGATGAAGATATGATGACAATAGTAGCTCAGAATTCTCTTTGAATACTCTTTCAATGCGTTTTCAGTCATCAAATTCATCCGCTCGGGGAAGGGGTCCGAACCACAACCCAGGTTACAAAACGTTCTTCTGTATGTTACGTGCAGTTACACATTTCACCAGAGAGGTCTCCAAATCTAAAAATGTATAGTTATATGGGAACATGAATAAAGTTTGAAAATGTATTGTTCACTTCCCAGTCCGTTTATGGAAACTAAGCTGTTGAAAACCAACACATTTTATACAGGGACAGCCAATCAGGAGAGAGGAGACATTTACATGTATAAGCCTAAGTGGATAAAGTGGATTCAAGAGTTTTCATGTAAAAATTAATTATGACTGTTTTTGGTACATAAACCTCAGGGGAAAAAGTTAAATGCAAGAAAAACGGGCATTTAAAGGAGTAACTTATCTGGAATGAATGTTTGCTGTTCCTAATCAAGTCTTTTTATCTTATTCCAGGGAGGTCTCAAATGGATCGAGCAGCATAGTGCCGGCCAGTAGCGTGGGCAGCTCTATGCTGTCTTTGACCAGTAAAACATCGTCACTCTCCCTTTCCTCTGGTGACCAAGCAGCAAGTGGCTCAGAGCTTCAGAAGAATGGTGTTGGTCACTCTTGCTCTTAAGAGTGCACACCCCTCCCACACACACACACACACACACACACACATACATACACACACACACACACACACCCACACACACACACACACACACACACACACACACCTGTACTTGAGATTCAGTAATTGGTGTTATTGACCAGCTGTGGAAAGAGTTAGCAATTTGAAGAGATTAGAGATCAGAAACTCTTTAAATTTGTGGACGGAACACATTGATATACACACACACACACACACACACACACACACACACACCTCTGCATGCTGTTACATGCATGCACAAACACAAACTTCTCTTTGTTTTATCTAGAAAAATGAGCAGTATCTGCCGTGATATGAATTTTCTTTCTTTTTGTTCTGTGAATGAGCTTTTTGTTTTTAAAATGACTTCTCATCGCCTGGAAACCAGGGCATCTGATTACGCTTTTCTTTTTTTCCCCCCCTCCTCTTTATTCCCTTTGGCGTGTATATTTAAATACCACCGATAAACCCAAAGCAAGCATGAAAAACAAAGGATAAAACAAACGTGAAGATTGGCAGCATAGGAAAAGAGAATGAAGCCGATTCTGTAGCACCTGGGCTCTTTCTCTTGACGGGCGACTGCAGTTGGGAGGCGTCGTGGCTTACGTACGGCATGAGGATCCTTATGCAGTTGGCCTGTGTTAAAACGCTTAACTCCCTTTCCCAAAAAAGTAAAATCTGTGCAGCCTTGAATATGATCTTACTGACCGGGCACAAAGTAGCATGGAGAGCCTTTTATCAATCCATTTTGTATGGACCATTACTACAGGTTTCCCCACAAGGTACAGCGCAATCGTGGCAGTGCATCGACGTGAGACGCGACAAGCTTCGAGCTCCAGCTCTGGCGGGAACACGGAGGTTAAAAGATAAGCAATCAGTTGTAAGATTTCATTTAATTTATGGTTTGGCTATAGAACTGTTCAGAATTTGTCAGTGGTAACGTGTCTAAAGCATTCTGTTTTATAGAATGCTTACAAATGTTAAAAAATGAGCACTTTTTCCATGTTTTTCTATGAGTGTGCTTTTTTTTTATTAGAAGAGAAAGAATGATACAGATCCTCGTGTTCCTCAGGGTTGGAGTTCGGTGGTTTAGAATGAAAAAAGATTTTTTTTTCTTCCCAGTGCCGCTTCCGTTTCATGCGATCGCAGCCTATTCGGAAATTCTTGTCAATTCTCCCTAACTTCTGTGAAGTTGCTTATTTGGGCTCCCCGGTCACATCTGCATATTCGGGTTAGCTGCTGCACAGAAACCCGTAGTAGGAGATGTCGTTTCAACAACAGCAGGCCTCGGATGGCGGGATGGTCGAGAGAAATTTCAGATACACTGGAGAAAACACCCAGACCTGATTACCAGACACAGGTGTTGTTTAGATTAAACAAGATCACCTAATCAGCGTCATCGGAAAGCGATTAGGCTTGTAAAATAGCTCTTTGTATCCTCACTTGATTTATTTTCGAATCGACTCTCCATGGAGACATTTATTCAGCTTATACCTGTATCACCTCGCTTTGACCTAATGTGTGTTTTTGCACATAATATATTCACTGACTATTTAAACAAACAAAAAGCGAAAAAAAATATATAATAATAAAGGATGCCCCAGAAAACGGAAAGATCAAGAAGCGGACAAGCTCTGAAGTCTTCCTATAGTGATGACATTCTTCACGTGTGAGATTTTGTTCTAGTCTCTTGAGACCGACTATGATATTAAGCTCCAATTTTGGGTGCAGCCTCTTAACGTGTACAACTGTGCTATAGCTGTCGTGTTATAGCTAATTTCTGTTATGATGACTTGTCATGGTCTTTTTTGTTTTGTTTTTGTTCTTGCTCGAGAAGAGCATGCAGCCTTTTTGAAAGCAATCGTCAAGATTGGACTCGAGCTTATGTGGACATGCAGAGATGAACGACCTTCCTTATGAGGTTCGGAGGGTCTAGTGATGTTCTAGTCGCCATACTTGACAAGCACTTTCTCGCCCGTAGCCACGCTGTCATCTCTCAGCGCGGAATTCTTACCTCCTCCCTCTTCTAGATTGAAAAAAACTGAATTCTTGAAAGGCAAAGGCTTCTTTCCTGATAGAAATTGCAAACTGCTTTTGACCTGGCGGTCATTTTGCATGATACAAATGAATCAAGTTGGGTTGGGTTCTTGAAATTAACCTAACGTCCCTCGTAACAGTGTCCCTGGCCAAGGTCTACGTCTTGCCCACCGGCTTTGGTCTCTGCATCAAGGCTTCGCCAGAGTCTGTGAATAGATGCATTTTACATCCATGATCTACATGGGGTTGAACCTCCATCCACTTAGTAAATGCATCTACGACTTTGTAACCGAATCTGCTTCTCTTACTGCAAATACTGAGCTTCTCATTTTATGGCCCACTGTAACGGGAGGACGTCGCATGTCCACTGAATTCATTTCGTGTTGAAAGCTAAGACAGCTGAGGAGGTAGAAACCTCAAAAGAACCCCGCTTAGAACATCTGCTGGAATGCAAAACTTGCTGCTCTTAAGTTTGACAAGGTGAACTTAAGGAGTAACCTGTATCGACTCTGCTAAGCTTTGTTTTCTGCGTGCTATGAGAATAAAAATGGAATATATTAACTTGCATGGCTGCTCCTGACAGCGCGCAGTATTCCTCACTGCAGTCAGGTTAAGTCTTTCCAACTGATTGCCAAAATTTAAACCACTGGAGCTCACCCTAAGGCCGCTCCGGTCGCCATTAGCATTGGGTTTTGCTTGGCTTGGCTGCTGTTCAGGCGACACGACTAGCATGATGAGCGCTAACCTGTTTTGCAATGCTAATTGCAGCTAAAAACGGTTAAAACTATCCAGAGCATGCCACATTGACGGCGTTTAGCAGGTTTTTTTTTTGTGTGTGCATGTAGCGCCCCAGTCAGCATTTTGACACTGGCGCACTGCTAGGATGATAATTTTATTTTAACCTCTGGAATATATGGGAATGTGCTATATGTATTTAATATTTGTCAGCGATTTGGCACTTGCTTGGGTGCCCTAGTTTCTTTTTTTTCCTTTTTTTTTTCTCTCCCCTTTATTTTGTTAATAATCAGTGATCTCACTGAGGTAATAACTTTTGCTTGGATTTTTTTTTTGTATGTTGTTTTACAAATGAAATCATGTTGCCCATCCACATATAGCCACTAAAAAAGGCCTACGACTCATTTACATCTTTAAAAAGCTTTGTGCATGTGTTATTTTCTTTTTTTTTTTTCTCCCCCCAGCAGAGAAGTCACAGCGTAATGTGATTTTCTTTGAGAATGGGTCTGTTCTTAATGGATGATATTCATTTCTCTACCTGGATTGTGTCTGTTTTGAGCGGACCTGTAGCATTCATTTAAATGAAAAGGCAAATTAACTCATTTTTGAACCTTAACACTGTTATGGCTGTGTCTATTTTCTTTTTATTCCTAACTTTTTTGGGAAATGTAATGGCTTTTTTATGATTACTTCCAAGTCGTCTTGTAAAATCTCTTAAATTAAGGTACAGGCTTGATTTCAACAAGGAAAGGTTTTATATATAAATATAGATTATACTCCATTAAGGAATGTTTAGAACCATCTTACTCCAATGTGGATGTAGCCATTATTACGCCATTTTATGACTTTGTAAAACAATTCACTGTGTGAAAATTGGTTTGCATTTTTTGTATAATACAATCTGCTTTTTTGTTTGTTTGAGAGGTGAAACTGGAAGCTGGAGGATGAGGAATTAAAAAAAAAAAACCTGTGATATTAAAGAAAAATGTAACTTGTGTACAACAGTGATTCTAAATGAGAGGGATGGATTAAATATTGACACTTAACTCGTATCAGCGTGGATTTATTTTATAATTATTCACAAAATTAAAATTTTACCCTGTATTAAAATACACAAATAACAATTGTATATAATTGTATACTTTTAAAATTGAGTAGTGTTTCAAGAAGCCAGCTTCTTGATAGAAATTGAGCAGTATTTGAAGACTTTAATTCCAAAATGCTGTTTTGCCATTTTTAACAAGGTTTTAAAATGAGTAACAGCTGATGTATAATGGTAAATACGTTTTACCATGAGTGGGGCTCAGTCTTCAGTGAGTTTTGGAACGAAACCCTTCAATTACAGTTATTTAGAATCATAATAGACGAATAACAGATACAGTGTGGGACACTAGTAAAGTTCAGTGTGAATGGGAAATAATAATCCATCTTCCTTCTGTATTGGGATGTTTGTTAATGAAGCACCGTTTCAGGGAGGGTCTCTGAGCTAGCTGAGCTTTGGCTCTCTATGATTGGAGGAGGTGAAACATTATTGGTTAATATTTTTCCCACCCGCTGGTGCGCTCGGACAATCAAAGATCAGATGTTCTCAAGGTAGACAGGACTTGTCTTTTAATTTGGTATGAACAATCGTGCTTAATATGAACTATTTAGAGGATAAAGAGCACAAAATCGAGTGACTGCTGTTGGAGTGACATCCAGAATCGTCAAACACGTTTTGTAGCACTGGCAGCCTGTTAGCCATTGCTGAGCCACTTTCGTGTGTAGTTTTCTTCAGTATTTCCTGGTTCTGAGTTAGTAGCACAGCATATGGAAACAAGAAACCATAACTTAACCAGCGTGGAACAGCACAGTATAACCCTGAGAACCATTTGGTGAAAAGAGACAGCGGAAAAAAGGCCTTTGATATTGTTAAATTATAGCCTCTTTTCTCATTCGGTGACATGATTATGACCGGACCTGTATCGTGTATATTTAGCCCTAATTTGCCCTCGTTATCCTTTCCAGAGAGGGTAACTGAGATGAATTAACTTTTTATTAGTGTGTAGTTGCCCAATACTCTCCATGTCCTCTTCTGATAGCGTGAACCCAAAAACCTGTAGACAAAAGAGGAACATATGGATCAGTCACATGGAGCTCAGCAGCACAGACTTCTGACAGCAGTAAGGAGACATCAATTAATAAATGGCCAATCAGAAACTGATCTTGATTTATACAGGTTTCATTGATGGTTTTACCACATTAAAAGGGATTCAACCATTTTTTTTTCTTTTTTTTTATTTACAGTTTGTTAATAATTTAAAGACATAAGTCATTCAGAGTGGTTTGATCTGGAATTCTAGACAAAATTACTGAGCCACAATTGTTCATAGTGCTGGTGATAGGAACCAGATGTCTGAAGAGTATACATGAAATGGTTAGAAATATGCTGACTGATAGCTGAGACACTGTTTTATATGATTGTTTTGAGGTTTGAGGCTTTTGGACTAAAACGTTTTTAAAAAGCCAAAATAGTCACCAAAGATTTTTTTCCCGGATTTTCCACTATTTTACCATCATTAACATAACATAAAAACTCAGAACACCCGTGTAGGTTCACTGGTGGTTTTGGATAGTAAATGTATATATTTGTGTTGTAGACATGGTGACCCCTGGTTCCCATCAGCACCACTGTAAAGAAGTCTGTAGATTTCTCTATAATGACCCATTTCACATCAAATCACTCTGAATGACTTGAATTATGCATAGATTTTGAAACAACAGTGCAATTATTTCAGCAGCAGTTTGGTAGAATGAATTCTGGCAGGGGAAAAAATAGTTGATGCCATTAATGTGGCTCTGCATATCGTCACTGCTGGAACAAAACGTATCTCCTGTTTTGTCATATATATATATATATATATATATATATAAATTTACAGATTTTTTTTTACATAATTTGAAAATACAACCTGCCAAATATGCTTTGTCAAAAAATTTCAGGACAAATGAACCAACAGAAATGGCCCAAAGTGACGCAGAATAAAATAATGTTACATTGACTTAGAAAGCTTTTTCATCTTCTCCTGTAAAGTTACTTTTTTGGAGATATGAAGTTTTGTTCTGAAAGCAACAATATGCACTGTTGAGATGGATGAATATTTGATTGAAAGGAATATCTGTTAATGTATCTGATATGAAAATGATGATGGGATCATGTCTATTTATAGGCAACACATGCATGCAACATGCATTTTTGGGTGACGTATGTTGTGATGGAGGCCAGTTCACAGTACACACACCAGTCATTCCACATGTGTTGGGTCCCAGCTCACATGCCTCCCATCATGCAATGCTCTCAGAGCAGCCATGTCTTTGTCTTCCAGTTGGAATCCAAACACCTGCACACGCAGAGGCAGTCTCAGAAAACAAATCTTGGAAATGCTGCGTCATTGAGCTTTAAATGGCTTATTGAGGGTCGGCATGTGTGAGTCAACCAACTCATCGGCTTAGATCTGCTGCCAAGAGAAAGACGCCAACTTCCCATACAGGAATCTTTTTTTTTACTTCATAAGTTTGGTTTATGCATGAGTAGAACAGAGGCCTTCAACTCGTGTTTGTGAGAAGGACCAGCCAGTGCTGCTTCTATAGCACTTGAAAACCTAAGCAGTTGGAAAAGCTGGAATAGGACTGTGTGGGAAAACATCTGGAGTATGAGTTCAAAACTTACTTGGCAGTTTTCGGAAATCCTCTGCGGCTTGGTGGACTTTGGGATTGTGATGACCCCATTCTGCAAAGAAATGAAATGGACAGAGGAGACCCGTCGTGTGAGATGGAGAATGTTTAACTACAATTAAAAATGCTTAACCAGACTGGAACCCTCAGGACCTTCTGGGCTCTTTTACTGCCCTCTTGTGGCTCCAGAGCAGAATTAGAATTTTAGATTTGTAGGTAAAAATAAAATAATCCTCCTTTGCAGTAAAATAAAACTCTGCTGATCGTTCAACACAGTTTTAACAATAAATGGTCTTAAACGCTGGAGTTCATGTAGCCTATATCTACTAATGCTGGTCACCACAGCAACACAGACAACAGCTAATAAAAAGGCAAGGAGAAAGATTTAAGACAAACATCGATGATTTGGAGACAATTGGATTTATTTGCGTTTATAATCACTCTGGCTGGTTTCCTGATACATTTAATCTGCAACGAGAAACTGACAAACGCTAAAAAGTCGTGAAGCTTATATTCTTGTTCGAATTTTCTCTTTCCACCGTGAATGGTGCAGCAGTTAAATTTGGGCCTCAGGCCCCATTTAAGGTGGAACATGAAATTTAGAACAAGAAGCTGACGAATGAGAAGCGACTTGAGCCTTGTAAAAAGTTGAACATTGAGAGTCATTTTACAAGAAATTAGTTCACTTTTGAGGAAAAGTTTCCTGCTGGAGATGCGAGAAAAATGGCTATAGCTGAGCTAAAACTTAAAGCAGAGCAAAGTAAGTCTGCATTTTCATCTATATATTTAGCCTACACTAGTACTTTAACACAAACTGAGACATATTTACAGCCAAGATAGTAAAATGGACATAAAATGTTGTGGCTACCAAAGTGGTGTGATTTTTGTTGAAAGGACAAAATGGCTCTTCTTAACATTTGGGTTGGTGACCTCTGGGTTAGGACTTCAGGAGCTGAACAAAAGACCTTACCATTAAAATTAACTACTAATGGAATTAGAAACCAACAGTGGAATTAAACAATCATGTTTTGATTTACCATCAAGCTCTACACCAGGACTCTTTACCGAGTCCACTTATAAGTGCAGCTAAAAGGTTTCCATAGAACACCCATTTTGGGACACTTGTTGTATAATAAGTTGGTCCTCCATTGTACTTCACCTGAATGCTCCAGCGGATGCAGATCTGGGAGGCACTGCGGCTGTACTTCTTCGCCAGCTCCAGGATGAGTGGATGGGTGAGGGCCTGGCCCTTGGCTAGAGGGCAATAGCCCTCAAATGCTATGCCCTCCTTGCGGCAGTACTCTACCAGCTCCCATGGTTGCTGGAAGGGGTGGAACTCGACCTGAAAAAGGAGCAAAACATGATCAGACCAGCTTGTTGGACAGTGTCATTTACTTTAAGAGTAACCTGCTAAAGATTCACACCTGGTTAACATGAGGCACCACTCCACAGTCTTCTTTCAGCTCCTCGAGATGTGGGATGAGGAAGTTACTCACACCAATAGCACGACATAATCCTACAAAATTTGAAAATGTGCTCAAAAGAAACTCCACATCAGTGATTGGGGTACTTTCCTGTTATTTTTTTTGGGTTCATCTATTAGACGACTATTTACTCGGAGCCAGAGCAAGCTTGAAGCGTGAAGCTTAGACCATGGCTACCCAAAACGTGGCCTATGAGGATGTTTGATTTGGCCGGCCAAAAAAGTATCCTAGATACCAAGACTGAGAACCATGTTCTAGACCACTGCTCACCAACCCTCCTGCTGAAGATCCACCTTCTTTACAACTAATCTGCTACACCTACTCCAACTAATCAGTCTCTTCTGAAGACCTTGATCAGTTGTGAAGACCAGTAATAGATCAGGGTTGGAGCTGAAGTCTGAAGGTTGGTAGATCTCCAGAAGAATGGTTGGTAAGTATGACAACATCTTCACCTTCATCGCACAGGTCCTCCAGCGCTCTCCACGTCTCTGCTCGAACTTCTCTGTTGGAGCGGCCGGAGATCATGCAGTCAGGCCAGTGCATTAGATACAAGTCTGTGAGGAAGACTGGCATCAGATTATAATGTCCTGCAAGGCATGAGTTCAGGAGGCCAATGCAAATACTTGCTTGGCCAATTCCAACTAGCAAAAATCAAAAGTAAAGGTGCATTTAGACAGTCCTTGTAAACTTCAAAAGTTCTAAGTTTACCAAAGGAAACTGACAAAGCTGTAAATAAAAGCGGTACACTGACAAATTCCATGTTACCATGTTATGTATGAGCAGCCAGTACATTCTAAGATTGCATAACACCGCCTGAATGTGTACCAAGTTGGAAAATACTTCTTTTTGTGTTGAATCACCTTATTCTTATACTAAAAGTTACCAATACCAATATAGAAACCTTGAGTATTGACCAATACTGACACCGACCCAATGTTTTTCCTTGAAAAACAATTTTGCTTTGTTATTAAATCCTTAAAAGTGAGCATTTTCTTGGGGTTTGCAACAAAATAAGATAACTAATTATCAGTGCTTCAGCTGATGTTATTGGTCTACCAATATATAGGTATACAAAATGTAGCAACCATACATTTTTGATAAATTTACTAGTTGCTTATGACCAACTGAAAACAAACAAGTTCTAGTTACAATTTGTGACCATTTTCCAACTTGACGAGCTGGCAACGACCAAACACACTGCAACATATATTTACCTAAATACTCCACTCCAAGCCTGGCAGCAGAGGCCCTGCAGGCCTCCTTGGCACTCTGGTACCCATAGTCCCCTGGCCACAGCTTAGTAGTGATCCAAATGTCCTCACGTGGTACTCTGCTCTCCGACAAGGACCTGGCCAAGGCCTCTTCACATCCGTACCTTTTGGCTGTGTCTATGTGCCTGATGCCACACTCCTGGACAGCGTAGACCACTGCTTCATGGGAGTATCCACCATCATGTGACGTCCCTGGACAGAGGAAGCCAAAGAGACAGACAGGAATGACAAGTAAGTAATTTATGAGAGCAAACGGTTAGGCAAACAAATTCATGTCTTTTTTTTTTCAAAATATAAAAATTGCAGCATTAACTAGGTTTCAATTTTTAATATCTCATCTTTGAGAGAAAATCAAGCTCCACTCTTGCTTCACATCAAGTGTTTCTTCCCACCCAGCTTCTTGTAGTGACAAGAAAAGAACTCATCACTACAAGAAGCTTTTACTGAGAAAAGCAAGTAGACAAAAAGGAAGAAAATGTACAAATCAAAGAAGCAACTGGAGTTGCTGGAACAACTGACTGACCACTCAAGTCCAGACCTCAACATCATTGCATATGTTTGGCATTACTAAGATTGAGAGAAGCAGAAAATGCAACCAACTTGTACGACTGAACTTTGGAACTGGGGAAAATATCCCTCCAGGTTACTTTAACTGAACTAAATACTGAAAAAGTTAATATATTTAGTTTTGTGCGTAGAGGCTGACGTAAGTAGCTGATAGGCCAAGCCATGGTGACGAATAATTGACAGAGTGGCAGCATATAAATGCTAAATAAAATAAAAAGTGGCCCAAGTACTGACTCCTGTGGAACACCACGGTAGTTGTGAATGATTACATCCCATTAGCTCTCAAAAACTGCTGTCGATTACTCGTATAAGACTGTTCAATGAGCATCTATGAACACAGAAACTGAAGTTTCTGAAAAAAAAAGAACAGAAAGAAATTAAACCCAAAAAAGGGGACTTAGGGGACTAAATGTGCAGGATTTAAATAGATCTGAGGAAAATAAAGTATAAATTTCTGAAAAATGGAAACAGAACTAATTACTTTCGTCCTCTGATGTGTGAAATACAAAACAGATGACCATGAAGGAACCAGAGGCAGAGAACAATGCTTGTCCACAAATTTGACCACACTGGCATCTGGGTCCTTTAATTTAAACCAGTCTTAGATCATCCGAGTGAGTGTAAACATTACCAGGGTTCCCTTTCTCTTTAGGAAATCACTTTCCAGAAGTTCTATACATGACAGCTTCTGAAAAAAGGTCATATTAGAATTAGATTTGCACCTTCCAACATCCTTATATCAGAATTCCACTAGGTTTCTGCATAATTAAATAGCTGAAGCCCCCTTCAACATAGTTTTAAATGTTTAACATTCTGTTTTAATAGTAAGGATATGCTGTATAAAAACATTTACCAGTGTGATATTCAAAAATTATCTAGAAAATAATACAATTTAATTGTATATAAACGCTCCAGAGATTCCGAGCTGCTGCCTGTGTGGGCGTGTCAGAATGATTGACAGTGGTGTCTACAGACAACGTGAACATTCAGGCTCCAGTGGCAGTGATAGGTGACTTGCGGTTCAGCCCTACACATTTGATCCCCCCTGCAGGAAAATAGACCACTTCACTTTTTCAGCTGCCCCCTGAACAGTGAATAAAAAGTACCAGTACTGAGTGCTGATTGGTTAGAGTTACTGCTACTGAGTGCTGACTGGTTAGAGTTACTGCTACTGAGTGCTGACTGGTTAGAGTTACTGCTACTGAGTGCTGATTGGTTAGAGTTACTGCTACTGAGTGCTGACTGGTTAGAGTTACTGCTACTGAGTGCTGATTGGTTAGAGTTACTGCTACTGAATGCTAATTGGTTAAAGTTACCGCTACTGAGTGCTGACTGGTTAGAGTTACCGCTACTGAGTGCTAACTGGTTAAAGTTACCGCTACTGAGTGCTAATGGGTTAAAGTTACCGCTACTGAGTGCTGATTGGTTAAAGTTACAGCTACTGAGTGCTGACTGGTTAAAGTTACTGCTACTGAGTGCTGATTGGTTAGAGTTACTGCTACTGAGTGCTGACTGGTTAGAGTTACTGCTACTGAGTGCTAACTGGTTAGAGTTACTGCTACTGAGTGCTGATTGGTTAAAGTTACTGCTACTGAGTGCTGATTGGTTAGAGTTACTGCTACTGAGTGCTGATTGGTTAGAGTTACTGCTACTGAGTGCTGACTGGTTAGAGTTACTGCTACTGAGTGCTGACTGGTTAGAGTTACTGCTACTGAGTGCTGACTGGTTAGAGTTACTGCTACTGAGTGCTGATTGGTTAGAGTTACTGCTACTGAGTGCTGATTGGTTAGAGTTACTGCTACTGAGTGCTGATTGGTTAGAGTTACTACTACTGAGTGCTGACTGGTTAAAGTTACTGCTACTGAGTGCTGATCAGTTTGCAGTACTGATACTGAGTCGTTTGCGCCCACTGACATCATAAGCGCTGTTATAATTAAGCAATAGAACATGAGAGGGAGTGTGTTATAACGGCTGTGATTTGGTCGTAGATCATCACAGCCGTGATGTTATTCGTGATAACAGACTCCCTCTCGTGTTCTTTTGCTTTTACACAACAGCTAAATAAATAAAGTAAGAAATAAATAAACTGGGCCGTGAACGTGGCAAATGTTTAACTGTTAGCAGTTCCTTCCGCTAAATTATAGTTCCTTAATAAGCAGCTTGTTGCTACGTCAGAGTAACGAACTCCGCTCACTCTGCTCAGTCTGCTGTAAGCCTCGCCTTTTAAAGTTCGGACTGAGCCATAAAACTGCCGGAATATCAAGTTTAGCTCAGTTTTGTCAGCTTTTGCCAGGTCAGTATTGATGTTGTTTTGTTCCAGGCAGTCTGTAAAGCATCTTACAGCCCATTTAGTTTGGCGAATGGTGTTGGGTTCATTTCTGGCTGATTCCAGGTTGTTTAGCTGTTCTTCTGTCACAGCTGCCGACTGAAAAGCTGCTCAGTGGTGATGACAGTTTGGGAATTTAGTGTAGTCTGACCAAATCGGCTGTCGGTCAAATGTGATCTTAAAAGTGTCCATTTTCTGTTTGTGGCAAAGTAAGGAGTAAAACCGTTCAAATGGCTCGAGCATCTCCTATCAAAGTCGTTGCTTAGCAACAGCGTCTCAGCGGAGTGATACAGTGTGTGTGAAAAAAACGTGATGTTATGGTGAAATAACAGCACAGTTAGAACGCTTCTCAACCAATCAGCTCGCACGGCCGGAACTAACTGTTGTATAAAGTCCTATAACTCAAGTTCAAAAGTGCTCAAAACAAAACAGCAGTGTTAAAATGTTTATGCTGTTCTGTGCTCAGGAAATAAATGCATTCTTCTATATAAAAAAGTTCAAGCATTTAAAAACTTTTTTTTTGCTCAAACGTGCCATATTAACCCATTCATTTTGGACTCACTCGGGAGCGCCCTCTAGCGTACCCAGCAGACATTACTGAGTGACTTAGTCACTACTCCTTACTCTCATTCTCTGGTAATAACACCAAATGGTATTTTCATGCTTCAGCAGTGGGACAATATCTGTATTTCACGTTTCGTAAACCAGCAGTGAGTGTTTTCAGTCCAAACGTGTAGGAGCAAAGTATCACTGACGAGTCTTGGTAGGATAATTTTATTATTTACTGTATTACTGTGAGATATTTAAAGTGGTAAGTGGTACATAAGGGTTACCACTTTCTCTGTTATTCTGTCTGGATTAACACAGGAACCAAACACACTTCCAGTTAACCTAAAACACAACGAGGCTGAAGAAAGCGGCTTCTTACTATTGGAATTTTCCGCTCCACCTTAAATGGTGCAGCTACGTTACAGCGGCTGCTGCACCATTTAAGGTGGAACTTGAGATTCGTCAAAACAACGACAATTCAGGGAACTTAAGAAGTTAAAACTGCTGTTCAGTGGTGGTATCAACCCATACCTCGCATTTAGGTCCATGTGTGGCTAAATATCTCCTGTTGTTCGGCGTCTAAGTGAATATTTCGATAAAAGTGTCCAGTGTAAGTGAAAAAGTGCTCCGCTGTTACTCACCCAGCCCCAGTGCTGGAATACTGAGGCCGTTGGAGAGCCGCACGGCCGGACACCGCTGCATGGAAGCAGCCGTTAAAAAGCCGAAATCACAGTCCCGTGATTTATGTGATCTTCTTTAACTGCTTTTTTAATCTTTCGGACATAAGTCGCTGTAAACTACTGAACGGTTAAGAACGAGCTGTGTTAAACTCCTTTAGGGCACCTCCAGCCATTCTGCCCTGCTCCAAACCGAGGTTTGGCTGTGTCTCAAATCGAGCCTTAGTTCCAAATTAAAGTGAGCCACTCTCAGAAAGGGGACTAGATTTGCTGGAACTACGGGAAGCCCTTTCCCGGGGGCGTGGCAGCCATTTTAAACATGAGGGGATGATATATGAAATATTTCTCATATCCGTGCACTCCTAATCAAAACAACCAAAAATATGTCTTCGGTTCTCGGTTCTTTTGGTTGAATAAAGCAAAAAGCCATTTGAGGCTGTGTGTTACTCTGATTTTTACACGGGAAGGATGTTCTTAGGCGTAATACAAAACGCCTAAAACTCCCTTTCCTGTGCTAAAATCGCAGTAATGCACGGCATCAAGTGGCTTATTGCTTTTATAAAATGGCGGCCAACACGAAATACAATAAAATACACAATTTTTCGGAAAATAATTCAAGTTATTATTAATAATTATCTACATAAACAAGTTTTCCGCCAAGAAATGTAGTTCCATTAGCGTATGGTATCGTTGCCAAGCAACCCTGGACCTGCTGAATAAGCAGAAGATGGTTCGGTTGCCCATCCCTGTATATTGCGGTCATTTCATGACCTTTATAACTTTTTGTCATATAACAATGAACATATGATAACACAGCACTGTTTAATGCAAAATCTTTCGCTTTATAAGTACTTTTTGGTCACCAAATTACCGCCGAGTCTTACTTAGCACCAGTTTAGCTGCGCCCTCTCCTCGTGCTGAGACCGAATCTCAAATGTCTCCCTGCTCCCTACATAGTGCACTTCGTAGGAATTTAAATACTGGATCCTGAACCCGAACGGTTCAAGTGAAAAATTTTAAACTTTTATACCGCTGTTTTACAGTTATTCATACCATAAGTACTTTAAATCAAGCCTGTGATATTAATGATGGAGTTGTTTAGGCTGTTGGCTAGCCGACCAGTCTAGTTCTAGTTAAAAACATAAGTTGTCAGCCCCTCAGTTTAAACAAAAAACGAGTTTTTATTCATTAGTATACTTGGTGGTCCATGCCAGCAGCATTAGAGTCAAAGATTATTCCATTAACAGCACAAGGGTTTTTTTCATGCCGTGGCGCAGTGATACAGAATTCAGTTGTTGTGAGGCGGTCATAGGTGTGGTATATTGTTGACTTTACAACGGTTTCGAGATAAGATAAGATGCTGTAAGATAAGATTAACTTCTGTAATACGAATTTGTGAAAAATCTTAAATTTACCTGTCAAATTTTAAGTTAAGACAAAACTGTAATAGAGCCCCAGAACTCCAGGGTTGGCAGGTAAAGGCACAAGTTCTTTTATTAAGTTATTTTATTTACAACGGCTCAGCCAATCAGATTTCAGGACCGAAACCATCCGTTTTATAAAATAAAAATTACAGAGGTCCTAAAATGTCTGTCTAGCTTGTCTAGTAGAACAGTGTGGTCTACTGTACTGAGTGCTGCACTAAAATCAAATAGAACCAACAAAGATTGTCGCAAAAAGTAAGCATCTTATACCCAGAACTTAAAAATTAAAATAAAGATCTGGAGCCGTATTACAGAAAATTCTTAAGTCTGAGATCATAGTTATCTTATCTGCTTTGTTGTCATGGCAACTTCAGTTAAGACAGAAGCCATTACAGAACAACGGTTCTTAAGTCTCTAATCTTGTCTTATTTCCAGATAAGAAAACGGTTTTACAGAAACATCCTAAGTTGCCAAAAAAATCCTAAACATTTTCTTAACTTCAAGATGAACCCAGAGCGGCTTAACTTCTGTTTTAACCGTCTGTTTCTATTGTTTTGTGCAGTGTCAGGCAGCACAGTTCACTATAACCGGCATGATGGCGCTTCATTGATCTACACTGAAAACGCTGCTTTGACTTGGGAGTTTTTCTGACAGCGTTTAAAAACCCAGACGCTGCAGACTCGATCTCCACCGCCCCCCTCTGATTACCTTCGTGTGTTAATGTTGATGATAAAATCCATATAAGCCATATACTGCGTTCTTTAGCATTATGAATACAGGATTCATATTGAGTTTGGACACACGTCAAATCAAATCAGAGTTTATTTAAATAGCACATTTTACAACAAGCACCGGCACAAAGCAGCTTTACAGACAAATCTAAATTAAAATATAGAAATGGGAAAAGCAGGTAAAGCAACGACCATAATTAAATAGGTTGATTCTCCGTTTTGGTCAATGCAACTGAGAAACTATAGATCAGTGTAGTCGTGCGTCGTTCTGTAGTCTTCGTTATGCCCATATTAGGAACTCCGGGTCTAAGGCCGATTTCTCTATGGCCAGAATGAATAGGGTTTTCGAAAAATAGCCTTTACGCCCCCTGTGGGCCATTTTCAATCCGGTCATGTTGAGCAGTGTAGCCTGAGTACAGGTCAGCTTGTAGCGAGCTATTGTAATAAAACATAGTATATTATTTTATAGTATAATATATATACAGACCGACATACAGTAAATATAGATTATTATATAGTAAAACATGTAAATTGACAGAAACAATAGTACTTTCTTAATCCTCAGTGAGACATTTGGGTACATTATTTTAATATACACTATAATAGTCCAGTGCAGTTAAAAGAGCTGCATTAATGTTATGATGAGAGGTTTAGTAGTTAGCATTCATATAGCTATTTGATATTGTGCACACAGCAACAACATTTCTGAAAGTGTACACAGGATAAACGTATCGGGTTCTGAACATTTTCATTGACGATTCATGATAGAGGCGTTTTTTCGAAAGCCCTATTCATTCTGGCCATAGAGAAATCGGGCTTAGACCCAGAGTTCCTAATATGGGCATAACGAGGACTACAGAATGACGCACGGCTACAGTGGTCTATTAAGTGCTGCTGAAACGTAAACACGTCATCAAGTTAGTTAGCCAGGCAGCTAACGTTAGCTACAGTTACTGAGGTAAAAATGTCTAATAAAACCAAAGCGCGATAAACTGAGAGTTAAGATTGTTGTTTTAGCGCAAACCCAGAGTGTTTCTAACTGGAGAAACCTGTGATTAAAGAACTGTTCATAGCTGAAAACAGAGCAGTACGACTTTCTAAAACCTGCAAAGAAGAGGAAAAGTCGCCACTTACCGTAAATAGTTGGGCTCTTCCCGTAGAGTTGCTGTGGGGGGAGAGCTTCATTTACACCTGCAATGAAATACAAACATCCCGGAGTGGATTCACTGAGTGTGAAATATGGATTTGTTGACTAAAATAGCCAAAATAAATGAGAATGAATGAGTGGTGCTGATTAGCTTAGCAATCACGACCATGTTGTAGCTTAAATTAATATAAGCTAACCCTAATGAATGCAGTGTGAACACTGACTAAGCTAGGCTAAGCTAACGCTATTGAGTGTAATCTAGTGGCTAAGCTAACGCTATTGAGGACCACACAACCCAAACCCGAGTTTGAGCATTTCCTTTTCGCTGGACTTTGTCCCACTGATCATTCTTATTTACTCGTTCACTCATTTTTGATATTTGATATTTGAACTTTGATATTTGAGACTGAACTTTGATTCTGGAGTAAACACATTTTGGGAAAAATGGTAACTAGCAAAGACACTTTCTCTGGATAGACAAAGCACTTTTTGTAAGTTGCTCCGGATAAGAGCGTCTGCTAAATGCTGTAAATGTAAATGTAAATGGGAATGGGGAAAAAAAAAAACTTCATTTACGTTAAAGCAAAGAGAGAGAATTTCGTTTCACTTTAAGGTTATTGTTTACTTTTTTGATAGTTGTTTGATCTTTTAATTTTTTATCACTGCTAATGTCATTGACAGTTGTTGCATCATGTTTATTGATGGGTAAATATAAAATTACAAGGTAAGGTGACTTTGAGTGAAATAACCTAAACGATAATTTAAAGAAAAAGCTGAAGTTAAACCAGTAAAAAGTATTAGTTTCTATCTTTGAATAGAAAATAAATTCCTAAACTCTAAAATTAAATAACAAAATAGGAAAAAAAAAAACTTACCTTAACCTGTCGAACCAAACGAAAACTGAACCTAGAGAAAAGCAATTAGTTGTTAAAATAACTATAAAAAAGTTACACTAATTTTATACTTACCTGAGGACTGAATAACCAAACCTGAAATCGACAACAAAGGTGATTAGTATAGATCAATAACACTGAGTAACACTTGGGTATAAAAAAATAAAAAAAAGAGATTTTGCACTTTGAATCAGTTGTACATTGTTTATTTTATTTGGAGACGTTTCTGTATTTATTTATTTTGTTTTATTTTATTCCTGAAAGAGAAAGAATCTTTGCTACATTGAAGAACTTTACATCATATTTTCTCAATACAGTACATAAATTGCTGTATATCTGGTCTCGTGTCTTTCATGTCTGTTGCTTCATGAGAGAACCAAACTGGTCCATTGGTCATTTCAGCTTCTGTACAGGTAACTCACAAAATATGTGCCATACACACGTGTTTAGAGTACTTCCGATTACATATGTTATATATGTATATATATATATATATATATATATGTATATATATCCTATGCAAGTAGGAACTTGCTTGTTGCGCCAGAAGTGTTATATGTACAGAATGCTGCATTACAACTTTAGTGCATGTTCTCATGAAGAGACATTATAAAGCGTTATAGAACCTGACTTTCTGAAGTCATATGCTCTTGCTGTATAAAATGTTATTTATGTACTTTCAGCTACTTATAAGCAATTACACAAGTTTATGACAGGCATTATGAGGCATTATGTATGCCATATACTGCGTTCTTTAGCATTATGAATACAGGATTCATATTGAGTTTGGGCACAAGTCAAATCAAATCAAAGTTTATTTAAATAGCACATTTTACAACAAGCACTGGCACAAAGCAGCTTTACAGACAAATCTACGTGCTAAATTAGACAAGCAGAGGCCAGGCCTTTGGTCCCTCACACGACCGACATACGTCGCGATTCGACGGCAGCCATGGACATTCTCCTTACGCCTTCCCGGACGAAGCCCTTAGCGTAGATCTGAGGCGTGTCTGCGCTGGAGTCGATAATGTGGGCCTGAAACAGAGAATTAAGCTCAGAGTAAATGGTCCAGCTACAATATGCGGCTTATTTCCAATGGAACAAGGTTCACTTCCAGGCTGTTCACGGTGCTTAAAGTGTTAGGTTTTACCTTCTCCAGGGCGATAAGTGTGGACAGCACATCGCCAGTGCGGCCAGAGGTGATTTTACTGCTCAAGATGTTCTCCTCCACAGAGGCAGCTGCCTGGCTTTGCAGCATCACCTCCTCTTCCTGCTTTCTGTTTATGGGCAGGTTGCTGACTTCCTCCAAAATCCTGGATGAAGATATTTACAGTCAGATCAGAGCTTTGTTTGTACAATTCAAGTGGAATTTCTCATAATAGCTTCTAGCTTCTTAATAGATTAAGCCAAGGCTGTTTTGCCTCAGATGTTGCAGGATACTAATAATAATAATAATAATAATAATAATAATAATAAACTAATAATAACCACAATTAAAACAATCTGTGTGTCAGCTGTGCTGTTGAACCGTACTGTTCTAGCTCCAGATGCAGCTTCAGATATTCCCTCTGGTTCCTGTGTATCGCATCACCGACTAAGAGCAGATTTTCAAAGTTCTCCACGTTGAGGTTGTCGAGACGGCAGCCGATCCGAGGTCTTTGATGTGTGGTCATTTTTGTGTTTTTGACGACCTCTTCAACGTGGGTGATGTCCCCATCGGTGGCTTGATCTTCTGTGTTCGTCTGTTGATTCAAATTTGATTGAATTTAGTGGAAAATGGTCATTTACACAGCATGTACAGTAAGCGTGTCCAGTCTATTATTAAGCAGCATTTATGAAGATGTATTTGCCTACTGTTGTCATTGTAGCTTTAAAATGCAGGCTTACCATAGAGGAACCTTCATATTTTTCTGTCGCTATGTGTAGGTGAGTGATGATGACGGCAATAACGAAGTTCGCAAAGACGAAGGCACCAACACAGATGAATACGACGAAATACACCATGGCACCATACATAATTGCTGGATCACCACTGAAAAGAAAAAACATATTTATATTAAATAAGACAAAACTATAACCAGGTCTTCATTCATCATATGACCCCACAGAAATGTGCCAAAATAGAAAGTGCTTTTTAGAACTGAAACTAAACTGAAAAAAAGAGCTGCTTACTGTTCAAACTTTTTTTGGATTTCATTCCATCCATCTTGGGTGACGCTGACGAACAGCGTGAAGAGCGCCGTAGGTAAATCAGCAAAGGCAGATGGGACAGAAGTTCTGAACAGCAGCACTCCAATCAGTCCAAACAGCTAGTGCAGAATCAAAGACATGAATAAGTAAATACAGGGCAAAGCATCACCATTTGCACTTACAAGGCATAAGTATGGTCACTATTACTAAACATCTTGATCATAGAAACTCCTGTAACTCCACACTAAGAGAACCAGTCACAGTTGAAGCACAGAGCGTGAATGGTGTGAGAACACGTACCACCATGCTGCCTCCAAGAAGCAGGAAGACATTGATGAGTTCAAAAATAGAGTCTGCCAAAGCATGGGTGATCACAGAGCCTCCTGTGGTGTATCCAAAAAACCTGAAGCTGCGAATCAGTTGCAGAATTCTTTAAAAAAGAAAAGACAAAAACGTTGCATGTCAAACTGAAACAAACATAGTAATCAGGTGTATAAAGGTTACAACAAAATGTAGCTTGACAGAAAACGACAGCTAAATTATGCATCCTGGCCTCAAGCAGATACAGTTTTACTCTTTTTATGAGGAATAATGATGGTAATGGATCAAATAGTGAGGATTTTGAAGTGCAGTAACAGAAATGTTCCTTACATGATGACCCTGTTGTCAAACTCAGACGAGGTCCTGGGCCCTGCAATCAGAACCACGGTGATCGCAAAGTCCAGCAGGTTCCATGAGTTCTGCAAATACAAAACAACAAAAAAGACTTAGGATGTGACAGAGCAACATTCAGTGAGGTATATAAACAAATATAAGTGCATATTTTGGAGTAAAATCAGTAAAAGCAGTACCTTCCAGAAAATCCTGAAGCCAGTAAACAACTTCAGAAGCATCTCCAAAAGAAACACCGTGAAGACGATGTGGTCGCAGGCAGAGAATATGGCTTCATATTTCTGAAATCAGAGTCAGGAAGAGCATTAATTTAAAATACATGCTACATAAACGTTCACACAAATACAATCCCCGGCAGCTTTCCCTCTGAAATGAGCCGTGCTCACCTTGACTACTGTTGGCTTGGTCCGGAAACCAATCACGACGCAGTTGCCAAGAGCCACAGCTATGATGAGGATTTTGAAGATGACGTGGTTCAGCAGCCTCTGTATTAAGCCGGTGGAGACAATTTGTCCACTTTTTAGGTCACCCTACATGTGAGACAAGAACAGTGTTCATTATTAACCAGTTGCCCAAAAGGTTTTGGTCAAGACCCAGAGAAAAAACACAGCAGATCTACCAAAGATTTCTTGATTTACAGTAGAGGTGATCAGCTCCAGGCCTGGAGAGCCAGAGTCCAGCACAGTTTGGTGATTCCTCTCCATTAATTCACCAGCTAAACGTTGGAATTATGTGAAAACCTTAAAGCTTAATGTGAAAAGTTATCCAGCACAGCTCCTCGTTTCCCGGCAGAATATTCTATACTGGAGGTTTCAGTTCACCTCAGTCTATTTGCTCTGCTTTTGACTTACATTTTGTTGTTCCACTTGTTCCCTGCCTTCCTCTGTCACTGACAGTGGTTCCACAGGTCTCTTGAATGCTCTCTGCCACACAGACAACACACAAAATTTATAAGAAAAGGAATTCGACAGCATGCACACAAACAAAGTACATAAAAGAATACGATAAAGGAGAAAAATGTGTAAGAGAATGTGCAAATACAGGATTTATAAGAACACGTCAATGAAGAATGGAATTAAAAAGTTAGCCATTTAAAGGATTTAAAGGATTAAGTAAAAGAAAAACAGAAAAGAATGTGTAAAAGAACGGGTGAATACAGAATTAACTAGAACAGGTTAAAAAAGAACTGGGCCTACATTTAGCATATGGAAAATGTTCTCGTTCTTCATTATATCGCTGTGTTGAAGTTCACAGGCAGTTTCTTCCTCTCTTTCCTCTCCGTGTCTCTCTCTGACTGTCACCAGCTACCAAATGGCGTGACGTCACAATGGAGCTGCCTTTTATAGAGGATTGCCGATGACGTCACACACGGCCACCCTTTTAGTTGGCAACTTTTTTAAAAACGTTTTTTTTTAACATTTTAAAGCACATTAATCAATGTATTTGAGTATATTGACTTGATTTCATTTGATTTGATGTTTTAGTGACGACAAACGAAAACTGTAATCTTCACATGTCCTTATTAAAGAAGGCCGAGAGGAAGACGTCGTGTTCTGAGACACATAAGCTGGACGTCCGTCCCACCGCCGTCTTTTAAAGCTCAGAGCATAAACTTCGTCTCCTTTCCAGTTTCCAAAGAACTTGCAGAGAGGAGAATTACCGCTCCGTAATGTCCTCCGGGTTTCTCAAACGCTAGAGGGCGCTCCCGAGCGAGTGCAAAATGAATGGGTTAAGATGGAGCATTTGAGCAAAAATATTTAGCGTGTTATAAATCCTTAAACATTTTTAATGTAAAAGAATACATTCATTTCCTGAACACAGAACAGCATAAAACATTTTAACACTGCTGTTATATTTTAAGAGCTTTTAAACTCGAGCTATAGGAGTTTAAAATAGGAGTTAAAATCAGCTTGTTGGTTATGCGGCAAGCGGGGAGCACAATAACCAGAACAACCTAAAAAAAAACAACACACGTTAATGCATTATTGAGCCAAAAGCCACACTATTTATAAAGTTTTAATCTGATCTCATCAGTGATTTCAAATAAGATTTTTAAATGGTAATTTGACCTGCAGTTTTGAGGGTTTTTGTCTCTCCCCATTCAAAATGAGAGGAGTCTGGTATTGTGCAGCAGGAAATAACTGCCCAGCGGTGTTGCAAAGATGGCCATTGAGTGTACAGCCTTTCCTATGAGGACTCTGTCCAAAATTTGAAGCTGACGCATCTCACTGAACAGGTACGTTAGCCAACAGTGTATCCACTACAAAGCTAGCGCTAGCAAGTGTCTTCCTGACTCAGTAATATTTGCTGTATGATTTTTATACCAGAACACAGTCAAATTTATATGTTTCTACCGTATTTGTCCTGCCAAATCTGCTAGCCAATTTAGTCTACTCTGACCTTGTGCAGTGTGTTTGGTTTGGTTTGTCCCACACTGCTTAATAGTTCACCGGTCAGTCAGTCCAAAGTGCTATTCACTTTAAAAGGGTGTTTTTTCCTCAGTGATTTGTGATTGCCAGTAACGAGTTCAATTCCGGAAACATGCAAAAAGTGTGAAGGACACAATCACTCGACCGTGAGAGTGTGGGGTTCATGTCCCCCGCGTCCCCTCATGTCTCCTAAGCCCTTGACCTTCCCTGCTGGAATGTGTACTTTACAAACAATGCATTCTGCACATGGTCAGTTAGGACACACCCAGTGCTGTCCCCTGCGTTTTGAGGAGCTTTGTATGGAGAGGAATTCGTGCCAGATTGAAAAGCAGTCACCACAGTGGACCTCCTTAATGAAAAACAATGCATTTTAAAAATGAAATGCTGAATTCATGTCAGAACTGAATACAATCTGCCTTGAAATGTAATAAAGGCACGACTATATTACTTTCCACTGTGCAGTACACTGTTAAAAAAGGTTCTTTAAGCGTTTTTTAGTAAAGAAAATGGTTCTATATAGAACCATGAACACTCAAAGAACCCTTTGCATAATTAAGGGGTTCTTCACATCATGAAAGGGTTCTTCAGATTGATGGAGAATGTGCTGAAGATGGTTCTATATAGCACCAAAAAGAGTTTTTCTATTGTAACAAGCCTAATATCATGACAAAAGAACACACGTTCTCTATAATTACATAATTACATTACATACATAATTAAATGGTTGAGATGTAAACAGAGTCATTCAGAGTGGTTTGGTGTGAAATGCTCTGTTCTAGAGAAACTTACAGTCAGAATTGTTCACAGTGGTGATGATAGGAACCAGACGTCCACCTCTAAAAGCTCCCTCACAGAAAGTTACATAAAAAGGTTATGATAATGCGGCCTGATGCCTGAGACATTGTTTTAAGATAGTTTTGTGGTAGTTTTGGCCTAAATCGTCTTGTTAAGCCATTTATTTTAATCTGTTCATGGTGGAGGGATACATGCAGGGTGTTATGAAGCAAAATAGTCCCAAAAGTAAACTTATATTCTCAGATTTATTACTTTTTCACCATCATCAACATTACATAGAAAAATCCGGAAGCCGTGTGGGTTCACTGGTGGTTTTGGACAGTAAATAAAATGGCTATATTCGTGTTGTAGACACTGTGACTTCTGGTTCCTATCACCACCACTGTAAAGACTTCTGAGTCCCTACACATCAAACCACTCTGAAGGACTTGGTTTATATCTCAATATTTGAAATATGTACACATTTGGGGGAAAAAGGTAGGGAATTCTCCTTAATAAAGCATTCAAAAAATATAAAAGTAGTGTTGAAATATATTATTTTTGCTCTGTGTGGAGAAAACGAGCGCGTTTGTCTGTGTGAAAAGGATGTGATTTACACATCACAGTTTGACACAAAAGCTCCATTGGAACCCATTCATTTTGGACCCAGCAGCGCCCTCTGCTGGCCGAGCAGCCTGAGTGGCAGTTCTCCTCCTCAAAATTCTCTGTGGCGCTTAAACGCGCATGCGCTTTGAAATCCGCAAACTTACCAACTTCCTTCGCTGGAAAAGTTGTTGCGCCAGGATCATGGGAATCTTAAGGCCATAAAATGAGGTAGGCGGTCATACATGGTCATATAATCTCATGCATTTATCGCCTGGACACCAGAGCTGGAGAGACATCGCAGTCTTAGCTGTCTTAACTGTGAAGTACCGAAGCTCCTGTCCGTTTGCGTGTTTAACGCAGCTAAAGTCGGTCTGTAGAGGTGATACTGAAAAAGTTCATTATTAAAATATCACTAATACTCCAGTTACACGCCTGATTTCATACCTGTTTCATGTGCCTCAATGCAATTTTGATGTATTTGTGCTTTCCTTAGTATTTTCAAATGTCTATGGAGCATCTGGAGTGATATGGTGATTATTTTTTAATAAGGCCTGACCACAGATTACTATGTTGAGGCCACGAGTTACGTTTTTCATAACTCAATACTTGTCGCCTCGATCTAGTATTTTATGGCATCAATATATTGACTTGTGGCCTCAATATATTAACTAGTGCACTCAATATATTAGTACTTGGCCTAGATATATTAATTTGTGGGTTCAGTATAGTAACTTGTGGCCTCAATATAGTAATTCATTGCTTCAATTTATAAACTCTTGGCCTCAATATATTAACTCTTGGCTTCAATATATTAACTAGTGCACTCAATATATTAGCACTTGGCCTCAATATATTAATTTTTGGCCTCTATATAGTAACTCTTGGCCTCTTAGTAATTTGTGTCCTCAGTATATTAATTTGTGCCCTCAATATAGTAATTTATGAAATCAATATATTAACTTGTGGCCTCAATATAGTAATTCATGGCTTCAGTATATAAACTCTTGGCCTCAATTAGTGCCCTCAATATGTTAACTCTTGGCCTCAATATATTAACTAGTAGCTTCAATATATTAACACTTGGCCTCAATGTATTCATTTGTGGCCTCGAGATAGTAACTCGTGGCCTTACTATAGTGGCCTCAATATATTCATTTGTGGGCTCAATATAGTAACTCTTGGCCTTAATATATATATTTTTGGCTTAATTATGTTAATTTGTGTCCTTGGTATATTAATTTGTGGCCTCAATATAGTAATTTGTGGCCACATCTTGTTTTACAATGTCATTTTATGGGCTCCGTATTTGACAATACATTCGTGAGGAAAGCAGTCAGTGTTTCCTCATCTCCACTTTAGTCATTCACATTGAGTTACTGATACATGGAGTGCTGAACCAGTGATTTCACTGAATGAACAGCAGGACTGGACAAGTCTATTATTTACTAAATCTTTACACGACAAGTAGATCGTTTTATTTGTATTAGGTTAAAGATAAATTCCATCAGTTTTACAGGAATGTCAGCACATTTAAATGGTTAAGATTCCATTGGGTTTGATGTGAAATGCTCCGTTTCAGAAAAAATAGTTTTAAGTCAAAATAGTTTTTTCAGATTTATGACTGTTTTACAATCATTCACAATACATATAAAACTCAGAAGGCACATGTAGGTTCACTGGTGGGCTTGGATAGTAAATAAAATGGCTATATTTGTGCTGTAGACATGGCGAGTCTACATTTTTCCACAATGAACCATTTCACATCAAACCACTCTGAATGACTGTTTACATCTCAACAATTTAATCATGAGGCAAAGGGTTGCCATGCCAATGGTCAAGACCCATTACCCCTCTTATTCATTTGGATTAATGTTGTTTATTTAGTGAATACTAGGTAAAAAGTTGGAGTCCAAATTTTGAAATATTCCTATAGTCATGAAAGTCATTATGATTTTAACAAGCAATTTAGCTTATCTCAAATGTTATATGTTCTCAGATTTAAGAACTTTAAAAGGTCTGAACTCTGTGCTCCACCAGAGGGCAGTGCAGCGCTTGCATCTTATGCTTCAGTTAGAGTTTCTTATATGTTTATTTAGGCCTGTGGTAATCATTACATCATCACCCAATTGCAATTATTTGAGATGATCACAGTTAATCAGACTGACTACAGTAATTTTAAATTTAATTCAAAAATCTTTATTCGTTTGTTTACTTGTTTATTGTTTGAGTAGGGGTTTTACTCAGATCTGTAAGGCAAAGACTGTGTAAAGTTTTGATCTCTTTTGTTTATAGGCTTCACCTCCGTGGCTGCAGGCCCCTCAGCCCTCGGCGGGCGCACGTCATCGTTGTCCCGTTGCTGCTGCTGCTGCTGGTGGTCGGTGCAGCCTTAACTTCTTTACTCCCCTCCCCTGAAGATGGCGTCCTCGGTGTCCTCCGTCGCCGGGCCAACATCTCGCGGGTCATCCGGCCTGAGCGGTCCGACTCGTTCACCGTCATCATGCAGACGTTCAACCGCACTGACCTGCTGCTGAAGCTGCTGAACCATTACCAGGCTGTTCCACACCTGCACCGGATCGTTATAGTCTGGAACAACGTCGCGGAGCCGCCACCGGTCAAGCTGTGGGACTCTCTGGGGCCTCATCCTGTCCCAGTGGTCTTCAAGGAGCAGAGCAGTAACCGGATGCGCAACCGGCTGCAGCCTTTCGCCGAGATAGAGACTGATGGTGGGTGTTTTATTGGGAGAGTAGATTACTTAAATTTTGTCACTTTTGTCCAATTTATATATAACAATATGCTGAAAACCGTTGCTGAACTAACTTTATCCTAAAAATTACATTTGGTCGAATGAAATATAGAATATATCACAAATCGTTTTATATATTAAATCAACACAGTTATATTTCAGTTCACTTACTGCTGACCGCAATTGAGCTCATGTAATATACTTTATTTAAGTGTAGCTAATGTATATAAGGATGCATCGATACCGATGTCTGATATTGTGCTCATTTCTTATACTCATAAAAAAAATCCAAAATCCATGTGATGATACCATGCGATGTAAATCTCATGTACGCTGGTGCGCTAATCACTAAACAAATCCGTGGCAGCCAGACGCAAAGTTATTGGTCACTTTGAACATTCTGCCTTAGAAAATTCACACCAGGTCATATTGACTGGGTCATATTAGCCTACAAATACAATCACAACCACTTCCCCAATATGGGTGGAGACACGTAGGCTAGCAAAACAGAAGCAAAAAAGTTGACATTTGCGACCAAAGTCTGTATGCTGACTGAACTCACTTACTATCTTCCTTTGACTTTCTCCTTTCTGATGGATTAAATCATATCTCGGCAAAAATATATCCTAAAAAATGAATAACTTGTACTTTATGGCTGTTTCGACTGCAATAAGCCAAATTTTGGTAAAACTATCACTTTAAACAGACTCTAAAAACAGCTCTTTATAGATCTGCGCCTCTTGCAGAGGAAGGAAGGCATCTCAGGATACTTCTGCAACTTTGAATGATCTAACTTTGTTGAAATGGTGGTTCCTGTTATCACTGTTTGTCTGATAGCCTGAACCGTATTGTTTTTCTCCTCAGCTGTGTTGATGCTGGATGATGACACACTTGTCAGCGCTCCTGATATCAGCTTTGCTTTCTCCATCTGGAAGGTAAAGTGTGGTGTTGACATGGTGGATACTGGATATCACACACGCCGTATCTCATGTCCTCAGTGAACATGATCTAGATTACCTGCTTCTGTTACAGTAGAAAGGAGACAGACTGCCTAGTTAGTATTTTTTATCTCTACATTCGGTCTGAGGTCTCTTTCTCTCTCTTACATGCACACGATCATCTTTCACAGCAATTCTCAGACCAGATCGTGGGTTTCGTACCGAGGAAGCACGTGACCACGGCCTCTGGCGTGTACAGCTACGGCAGCTTTGAGCTGCAGGATCCTGAAGTGGGTGGTGGAGACAGGTGGGAAACAAAGCTACTCTGATTTTGAGAGCTGTTTGGAAAAAATTGCACACATCCTTAAAGTCCCAGTGTGTCCCAAGTGTGTGATACTAAACCTCTGAAAAACAGCTAGCAACAGTTGCTAAGCAGTGATTGAAGGACTGAGGAAAATGGGGCGGGTCCTGAGATGGTTCTGTTTGGCTCAGTCCCTAGTGTTGGCCATCTAGTCACACCCCTTTCCCATAGTGTGGCACATGGATTTTGTCATATACTGGAGACTGTACTGTATACTGCTATGAAGAGAAGCACAAAGTATACAGTATATATTACATTACATATTGAAAATAATGTTTCTGAGAGAGCGCCAGTTGCCTGTGGTGTCCCCCAGGGTTCAATTCTTGGGCCACTCTTATTTAATTTATACATGTTTATACATCTCGGCCAAATACTACAAGACTATGGGATATCTTACCATATCTTGCTATGCAGATGATACTCAGATCTACTTGGCCCTCTCCACAAACAACTATGGTCCTCTTCACTCATTTTGTAAGTGCCTTATGATACAGTATATATCACATTACATATTGAAAATAATGTTTCTGAGAGAGTGCCTGTGACCTGTGGTGTCTCCCAGGGTTTAATTTTTGGGCCACTCTTATTTAATTCATACATGCTGCCTCTTGGCCAAATACTACAAGACTATGGGATATCTTACTACAGCTATGCAGATGATACTCAGATCTACTCGGCCCTCTCCCCAAACAACTATGGCCCTTTCTACTGATTATTTTATCTGGGAATAGCAATGAGAGGCACAGACTAGCTGGCTGTCTGGATTTGAGAGCCCTGAAATCTAAAGAACTAGTACGTAACCTTGGTGTACTAATGGCCTCTGATCTTAGTTTTAGCAGTCGTGTCAAAGCAGTTACTAAATCAGCTTTTTATCACCCTAAAAACATCAACAAGATCAGAGATTTTCTGACCAAAGCAGGCTTGGAGAAACTCATCTGTGCCTTTATTTCTAGCAGGATTGATCACTGTAATGGTCTCCTAACTGGACTCCCAAAAAAGACAAACAGCTTCAGCTGATTCACAGTGCAGCTGCCAGAGTCTGACTAGGAGTAAAAGAAAGGATCACATCACTCCATTCTTAAATCCTTACACTGGCGACCAGTCTGTTACAGAATAGACTTTAAGATACTATTACTGGTACCAGTATATGTATTTCATATGCTGCGATATGAGCCGAGCAGAACTCTCAGATCATTAGGAACTGGTCATTGGTCACTTCTTCCACAGCTGTAGTGGATTCAGTACCTGCTAAAGTGGAACACTTTACAGGACAAGAGTCAGTATAATTGTACACCCAGCTGTCCAGCGAAGACTGTGGGATGGTAAATGATGAACGAATGGTGAAGCGAATCCTCTTTTCTCTAACGCAGGTACTCCATGGTGCTGGTGGGCGCTGCCTTCTTCCACCGCCGCTTCCTGGAGCTGTTCCAGACGCAGTCGGCCGAAGTGCACGCCCTGCTGGACGAGACACAGAACTGCGACGATATCGCCATGAACTTTGTGGTGGCGCGGGAGCTGTCGCCTCTCGGGCGGGCGTCGGGGGTGTTTGTGAAGCCTGTGGACCTGAGGAACCTGGAGAAGGAGGCAAGCAGCGGGTACGTGGGCATGTGGCACCGGGCGGAACACCTGCTCCAGCGATCACACTGCCTGAACAGACTGGCGCAGATCTACGGAGGAATGCCGCTCCGCTACTCCAACATCATGATCTCACAGTTCGGCTTCCCCAGCTATGGCAACCACAAGGGCAGGAGCTGATATCCTGGACTGAGGTTTAGACAGGAGCCTTGAGGAGCTTCTTCTGGAACTTCTACCTTTCGCTACACAGAACATTTACAGAACAATTAGGGCTGTCTAGATCTGAGCTGTAAGCTCAGTATTGCAGTATTTTAATAGATATCGACTGTATTATACCCAATCAATTTCCAGTCTTTTGCCAAAGTGACATTGGTTAAAATCAGTCATTCAGAGTGGTTAAATGAGACATTTAAGTCACAGTTGTTTACAGTGGTGGTGATAGGAACCAGACGTCTGCAGCATTGATTACTTTTGACAGCTGCATTACAGAATGCTGTTATATGAAATGGTTACGAATACACTGCCTGATATCTGAGACGTTGTTTTATTATTGTTTGTGATAATTCTCGGCCTAAAATCTGTTCATTGAAATCTTTTAGTGGCAAGTCGGGGGCCAACGAGGACCACAGGCATCCTGGTACAATCGCTGGCTCCCCCAGTGGCCCTCCTGGCGAGTCACATATCCATGATATGCTGCATAATATATCTGATTTATTACAGTAGGTACAGTAGGGTTGTTGGAGTATTTTAAAGTTGATTTGGGGGTTTTGTTAGTCAAAAAAGTACAGAAGAAAACATTTTTACCATTTTCATATATGTGAAGGTTCACTGGCGGTTTTGGATAGTAAATAAAATGGCTATATTTGTGTTGTAGACATGGTGACCCCTGGTTCCCATCACCACCACTGTAAGAAATCAAGAGTTGGTAAGTTTCTCTACAGCAAATCATTTCACATCAAACCACTCTGAATGACTTTGTTTACATCTCAACAATAGAACTTGGTAAAATGTGGGTGAATTTTGAAAAGAAATGGTGGAATTCTCCTTTAAGGCTATTCTACTCCATTTATGCTGCTGTCATAGAGGTTACATAAAAGACTTTCTATTGTTTGTACATTATCTATAACTTGCAGCAGTGTTTTAAGTCATATACGTGCCAATATTTTGACTGCAGATAAGCTAGCTGCCTTTTATCAAAGCACAGTTAAACTAGCTACATCAGCGTTCATCTAAAAATACTTTAAAATTGTATGAGTTGCACAAAATTGACAATGCAGTTTAGAAAAAAATCTTTGACACTTCACACAGTTTTTATAATTTTTTTTTTTGGTTAAATACTTGTGTTCAGTGCTGGGTTTATTTAGTAAATGTGTATCTTGGTGCTGACAGAGAAAATGCGTTTTTGACAGGTTCAGTGTTACATATATAGCCTATTAGGGATGCACTGATCTTACCTTTTTATGGCTGATTCAGATTTTTCTACAGCCAACTTGGCTGACTTTTATTAGCCTTTTTAAAAGCCAAAGCTCACACTGAGTGACACATGAAACACAGCAGCACATTTCCAGAACTTTGATTAACAAGTATAAACAGTGTAAACATTATTTGCTATTTTTTCAGTTTTAAATCGGTTCCCTATTAAAAAAAACATGAATGAAATAAGCTGCTAGATTGAAAGCAACATGGCGAATGGAGTCGTGTAATTATGCTGTGAAGTTTTGGTGCAGGTGTAACAGCATCATTCACATTACCCTCCTCACGTCTACCTCGTAAAACTGCATCACTGCTCCTTCAGTATTGGCCCATTCTGAGGGTGCATCCCTGTAGACTATATATTGGCGTGTTCCAGTGCTCTCTGGGAATTTAATAAGTTGTGTGTTTTTGCTCTGCTACCCTGAAAGCAAGTTTAAAGCTCGCAAGGTTTTGTTGTTTGATCAACATGTTACTGTACATCTCATACAAATCTGATATATTGTCTTCTTCTCCTCACTATTAAATGCATTTGACTTGTTTTCAGTTTGAACCTTTTCCTGTTATTGGTGTGCGGATTCCAATGCATTGTGTTCAGGTTGTACTGCTAACTTTCGGCCAGCAGATGGAGCCTGAAGCTTCATTGATCAGAATCAGAATCACTTTATTGCACAACGTATGTTATACGTACAAGGAGTTTGTCTTGGTGAGTGCTCACATGTATGACATTTAACACAGTAAACAGACCAGACGAGCACTCAGACTGGTGATACATATTTCTCTAAAGGACAAATAAAATAAAAATAAAATAAATAGAAGAACATGTAGGTCTGGATAGACATGTAATAGCTATTGTATATAGAATATTACAAATAAAAAAATGTATAAAATTTTGTGTTTCAGGAGCAGCCAGAAGCCGGCAGCTGATGGAAAATGAAAACATCTCAATCACATCAAAGGATATATGCAGATGTGTGCAGAAGTGTGGGCAACACTGGCCAAATGGTGGCTTACTTTGTTGATTTTTGGTGTGAGAAAAATGCTTAATGCAGTTACTTACAAATGATAAACTGAGAAAAAGTGATAGAATAGTAATTTCAAACGTTTAGACACCATTTTAAAATCTGAGGACTCATTAAGCCTTAACTGACTCGTTAAGACTGGTGATGCTGACAATTCCAGAATGTAATAAATTCTCTGACTCTTCAAACCTTGTGCTAACACTCTGCTTAGCAGCAAGAGAGGGCTATAAAAATATATCAAAACGCAGAAATGCCGTTAAGATGAAGAATAGAAGTCAAGGCAAAATCTGGAAGACCAAGAAAACTCTCAGATCCGCTCGTATGCTGGCCAGAAATGCAAAGCAAAACCCCCATATGACAGCAAATGGCACTGCAGTGGTGGGGCACTGTTCTACTGTGCAGTGTTGCTTACACAAACACGATCTGCATGGAGGACCTGCGACCTCATCACAGAAGTCAATGCCTGAAGTATGCAAAACAACATCTAGATACGCAAGAGCCATTTTGGAAACAAGTGTGGTGTGATGAAGATGGATACAGATGGATCTCTTTGACCGCAATAACCAAAGGTGTGTTTGGAGGGGAAAAAAACAGCAGCATTTGATGAAAGAAACACCTTGCAAACTGTTAAGCATGACGGTGGATCTGTTAGACACTGGGACTGTGTGGCAGTTAAAGTGTTACAGAAAAAAATCCACCATGAAAAATGTCAAGAAACACAAGCTGAAGCTTTTGGAATGACCCTCACAGCACCCTGACTTTAAAAGTCTGAAGATGGCATAAAAATATAACAAGAAATAAGTTTCTGCTGTTTGTTAGTGTTTAAAAAGTCTCACGATTCAGAAAAGAACAATCCTATTAGTCAATAAAACACTGTTTAATTAAAACTATTATAATATATTATTGGTTATTAGGATCTTTAGCTTTTAGGGGGCTACATATATCGAGGCCTACATACATCGATTTAAACGTAAAAACTGCGTAAAGCACATTTACAATTACACCTGATGTCCCACGCTTAATATATCAATATTAAAGCATAAGAACAAATGTTATTAACATGAATATCATATATAATATTATTCAGTATAGAGATTGTTTTGTTGCCTATTACAATGACTTTGATATGCATGTTGCTAAAAATATTTCACCAAAACACACCAAAAATGATAAGAACAAAGAGGAAGGACTACTAAAGACTGTTATGGCATAAGTTAACAAACAATCTGACAACTGACAACAACACAACTGACAACACCAATCAGCCGTAACATTAAAACCACCTCCTTGTTTCTACACTCATTGTCCACTTTATCAGCTCCACTTACTGTATAGGAGCACTTTGTAGTTCTATAATTACTGTAGTCCATCTGTTTATCTGCGTACTTTGTTACCCTGTTATTCAGTGGTCAGGACCACAACAGAGCAGGTATTATTTGGGTGGTGGATCATTCTCAGCGCTTCAGTCACACTGACATGGTGGTGGTGTGTTAGTGTGTGTTGTGCTGGTACGAGTGGATCAGACACAGTAGTGCTGCTGGAGTTTTTGAACACTGTCCACTCACTGTCCACTCTATTAGACCCTCCTAGCTTGTTGGTCCACCTTGTAGATGTAAAGTCAGAGACAGCAGTTCATCTGTTGTTGATCATCCTCTAGTCCTTCATCAGTGGTCACAGGACGCAGCTGGATATTTTTGGTTGGTGGACTATTCTCAGTCCAGCGGTGACACTGATGTGTTTAAAAACTCCAGCAGCACTGCTGTGTCTGATCCACTCGTACCAGCACAGCACACACTAACACGCCACCACCACATCAGTGTTACTGCAGTGCTGAGAATGATCCACCACCCAAATAGTACCTGCTCTGTGGTGGTCCTGTAGGGGTCCTGACCACTGAAGAACAGGGTAACAAAGTATGCAGAGAAACAGATGGACTACAGTCTGTAACTGTAGAACTACAAAGTGCTCCTATGTAGTAAATGGAGCTGATAAAATGGACAATTAGTGTAAAAAACAAGGAGGTGATTTCAGTGTTATGGCTATCTTGGATGTATGTGGAACAATTTTATGTAATAACACTATGTGGACAAAACCACTTTAAATGACTTTGTTTGCCTCTCAAGGATTCAATTTCACGGAAAATTTGCGAAAACAGTAGAAATTCCCCTTTTGATCTCATTCAGCTCCTCAGCTAATGATCAAACTGTGATATGATAGGCTGAGTGGTCTGTGTTTTCTATTTCTGTAAATGATTCTTTGCAAGCCATTCCTTCTGCCCTCATTGTATCACTTTAGACTTTAGACCATTTATATAGACAAAACAAATTTCACAACTTTCACTTTTAACTTCACATAATTCTAGGAAGCTAAAAGAAGGCCAGGGCAGAATGCACAAACACCCACATAGGAAATTCCATAAAGGGCCCAAACAAAGGCTCCACACCAGGTCCAGGAAGGATTCTTTGTTTAAGAAGAGCGTCTCTAGTTTAACAGGGATAAATTATCAAGCGTGGTATCAGATTCCTGATCATGGAGAATGTTATCTTTATATTGGGTATTTTTTGGCTGGCTTTACACAGTGAGTTGCCTGCAACATAATATCTGTGTAATTGTCAAACAATTCGAGAAATGAAGTTGCACGAAGTGAGACATTTGTTTACTCCACTAGTTAGCCAAATTAGCAGCTTGTGTTTTTTTGATACATAGTATCTTTCTTGCTATAAAGTCATCCGTGAGGTGTAATTTACATATTTGCAACATTTTTAACATCTTATATTATCCTATCCTATTTCTTTTCATGTTATATATGTCTGTCTTTTATCTATCCATCAATGATTCTTTACTAAATTTAGGTTTTCTATGCCTTTGAAAATAAATATTTAAGTAGTTATTACAATAATAACCTACTTGATGGTTCATTCATCCTTCCCCACAAGTGCAACGAGATAATCGCGGAGCGCGTTTTCCTCTTCTGTAATCATTTTCACCGTTCGTTTCATAAAATTAGGGACGCCAGGAGAGAAGAAATGAATCTAGCTACATAGATAACATTAACAGTAAGCTAAGAAGAATAAAGAATGACACAAACAGCTGTTTAAGCAGCTGTTAGCGTTTAACGCTGCCATTTACAGAAACATTACCTTTGAGAAACTCACATTTCTTATTCGCCCAATAAACCATCTTCTGTTTTATTTTCTTGTCCACTGATCTGGTGAAACTGGTGGTTTGAGATGACATAGTTTGTCGTGATCACGTGACGCATTGATTGGCTGTTTCATGAAACTTGTTTCATGAAGTTAAGACACTTGCAGCTGTTGCACCTGAGTTTCAAATGAGTTGCAGGACGCTTTACATAATGCAACTCAAGAGCAATTTTGTTTCATGTAGGTTTCAAGCAACTTAACATGCATAAAGTTTCCCCCGTGTAAAGCCAGCCCTACCCTGCCTTCACACCGGCACTTTGCCTCTTACTGCCCAAATTGTTGGATGGTCATTGCCTGTGGGCATTTCTGAACTCAAGCTGAATGTATATATAAGAACTGGGTAGTGCTGTTTTAATACAGCAGGATCTAAAAGTTATTTAACCAAGATCTTGGAAAAAATAGCTTTTTTTGACTGATCTTCCCAGGTCAATAACTTCACACCTTTGTGTGGTTAATTTTTATTATTTAATAAAAGAAACTTTCCCACTGCACATTCAAAAACATGAACAAACTCAAACGTGAACCAACCGAACTCATGCTTCAATTTTTCAAACTGTCGAGTGCAGCATAATGATCAAAAACTCGTTCTGTGGCTGCTAGCACAAATGCTAATAGTGTTAGCTTGTTAACTAGCTGAACTAGCTTATTATTACTCTCTACAAAGTAATAATTCTAAAAATATCAATCAACACATCATCATACTGATCTAGTTTACGTTTTAGTGCTTTTATTAGTCGTGTAATGTGCTATAGCACCTGTACTGCACTGCATCTGGAAGAGTGAAGGATTCTGTGTGTTGTTAGCTTCAGTTGCCAGTGTTAGCAAAGACAGAGGATCCCTGACTGAGATAATCACTGCTAATAGCAGCTGAACCTGCTTTAGAAAGCTGGAAAATAGAAAACAGTTACATATTTGCTTACTTTTTCACATTACACCCTCAAATACAACAAGACTTTACCTTATTGGGAATATGTGGTCTGTTATGTTTGAATTTGTTGTAAATTGTGCTGTAAACTAAGCTGCTTCCATGCTAGCACATAGAAGATAGCGTGCCGCTGTTGGCCCACAGACAGCAAAGCTGGCGGCCCACTAATGGTTAAGCACCGTGTAGACAAAATCGCGCTTTTCATCACCCATTTTCCACACAACCACAGTCCAGTTTACTTATTTTTCCTTCATGTCCTTCTTTCACTATCCTTTGTAAAGTAGTTTAGTTAATATTTTTATCAGTAATATCATAACTAAAGCCGGTCATACAGCTGTAACCAGTCTAGCACAGTGTCAGCAACATGATTTCCAACAAAATCAGTTTATAT